ATTAGTGTTGTTGCTGACCAAATAAAGCACAAAAACGACAATATAACAAATGGTTGAAAAATTCAATAAACACTGATGTAATATGGCATGAAAAAGGTCTTCAATTCGTACTCTTGTATTTATTATTATAAAAAACACAGGGCCGTTGCTAGTTGGGAATATATAATTTGTACGCATTTATGGGATATAATGAAAGTAAGAAGTTTTAAAAGGAGCTTTTGGAACCATTCGAAATTGAAATTTTTGTGGTCGTTTATATACCGCCCGTGATGCTTAAGTAATCATAGATTTTGGAGATCAATTGTAACATAGACTAATAAAAAAAATAGAATATTCAAAAGGAGAGTTAATTAAGGTATTGTGTCACACACAATCATGGAACATATAAATTGTCCCCTTTTTTTTTTTTTTTTTGATTTCCTTTCTCCTATATTTCTCTTTGATGAGAATTACACATAAAATTGACCTTCGTTGCACATGAATAATGATGAGGGGACACATACGTGAAGAATAATAATAATTGAGGAGGTTAGTTAAAAGTGGGAGGCAAAAATATGAAAGGATGGATTCAAAATGCACAACCGGTCGTCTTATTATGTGGTTTATGGCACATAATTATTTATGGCTTTCTCTAATGTCTGCAAAATTATCTTACATCATACTTAAACAAATAAAAGCACTTGTTTCTAAGTTATTTAGTATTATTATGACGATTATTTTTGTTTTGCCCTATTTATTCTTTTGCCCCCTCAGGCCTCAAATCTCAATGTAGCTGGAGGAGGTAGTTAGTGATGAATTAATGCCTCCAAGTATTGGTAATTTATATAATAATTTTCTTTCTAATTGATGGTTAAGGTTAAGTTGTTGCTATAAAATACAACATTATCAAAAATAATTAAGACATGCATTTACTTTTATAATGTGATTGGTAATCAAGGATGAAAATGTAACCATTAAACACTAATTTATATATATATATATTCCATTAGATCTGGCTGATCTAAGCCATGGACTCCTGGAGTTAATCTCTACAAAAGTATACACCTTTTTTTTTAGCATGTAAGTAAAAATATAGGCATCACGTTCTTGCCACGCCGAAGTGGTTCTTTTGCAGATGATGCGTCGTTCGAAGAATTCATTCAGACAGTCTTCTGTTCACAATTTAAACGGGTAAGTAGAAACATAACTCGTTCTGATTGTATGAAAGTCTTTTATGCAATGAGACAATCTCTTGTTGATAATTTCAGGAATTTTAATGCTATTTTATCTTACACTTTTGATCTATGGGAGATGTGCAATAAAACTTGATATGACAATTTCACAAATCAGATTCACAAGAATGAAATTTGTACCAAATTTTAATCAAAGCAAACGAATAGTCAGTTATGAAAATGTATAAAAATGAGAAGGAAATATATATAAATTATAATGGATGGGGAAGAAACTTCCATGAAAATTGTAGACTTTTCAATTATTGAGTCATACCGAATCGGCTTCCAAGATTCCTCTAACCAAAACTACGATCTCACCTAACAACTCGTTTTGCGTCATTTTTGTCTTTAAATTATTCATTCACCGATCTATTAATATAAGTTATGAGCCATTTTGACCATAGCAAGTTAATATATTTGTATTTTATTCACTCAAATATAACTTTATACGTAATCGTCAATTATATATATAGTAAGAGACCGTAAACTAAGCAATTTCTTGTCTTTTTCATAGTATTGTTTAGAGAAAGGAAAACAAAAAATGGATTTAATAATATTATATGTTTGGTGGCGTGCAAAACACTGTTAATGGAAAGACTTTTAGATGATAAGAAATCTCAAGTCATTTTCTATTTTTTAATAATGAAACATTGGTGATTCTAATATGCCTTGGAAACAAACTCTAGAGGCAATGATTATGCGATTGAAAATTATTGCAGCCTGTGTGTTTCACAAACCTAATATCCATTAAACCATATGATGAAATTTTAAAGATCTACGTTATAACTGATCAACCAGTGACATTTATTAAAGTAAAAGAATAGCACTTTTAACCCCCTTTTTCAGTGGAAATTAGTAAACACTTTTGGGCTACGTAAATTCGAGGAAAAAAAATATTATATTTACATTATGTAGCCAAAATGTACAACAAGGTGTTGTTGAAAGGGGACAGAAAACCACGATATTATCATTTATTTCTTTCTTTCTTTTTTTTTTTTTGGTAATCTTCAAATATATCTTCCTCAAAAAAAAAAAAAAAAAGAAAAGATTGACAGTGAATTTAGCAATTGCGCATCTATGAAAGATTCAGAGGTGTAATAGATTAGACTTACGCATGCCTAATTACATAATAATATAAGTGATTTTAGGTAAAACCAAATTGTATATTCTTCATATTCCGTGTTTGGTGCAGCAGGGATGGTTACAATATTATCCTATAATTGATAGGTGGGCACTTTTTCCCATGATTTGTTCTAAAATTTTTAATATTTAAAAAATGAATTAAACTATTATATATGGATTACAACACAATAAGTTGCAATCTCCGCTAAAGCTGTGTATTGGATGGACAAAAATATTTTTACTAGCTAATTTCCATATAATTAACAGTTGATCATTTTACTATAAATAATAGAGGGAAGAGTCTATATCTTTTTAATTATTAATTCATCATTATAATCTTTCAAGTTTCTTCTTGTCATTATCCAGAAAAAGCTGGCGGAAAATATTCCTAGGTAGAGGAGCTACCTAGCTCAAGTTATTGGAGGCATGCACAAGATGGCACGTCCTACTTTTTATAACTATAAAGTATATATTTTTGGTTATAATAAACATATAAATTGGACATAAATAATTAAATATGAGATACCAAACTCTTTGGCCTATGCTAAGAATGGTTCTTCTAATTGCGGTTGTCATTTTGTTTAAAATACAATATCTTCAAAGTGAGATAATAATTAGTTAATAATCTACAGAATAATGTCCTGTTATATTTTAAAATTTTCATAATTAAAAGTAGTTTTGTGCTCGACAATTATATCATGTAGTTGTTGCAAAAAAATGAGGTACGATGGATTGAGATTAAGAAAATGGAAGATTTAAAATCAAAATGGAAATGCATATATTGGAAAATATGAACAATATTATTTGTTGAAGATAAAGTGAGCAAATATTTGAAATTTATACAAATACAATATAGGAGCTGATTTTTATTTTTGACATTAAGGCACGCCGTATATCATAAGCACAAATTATACACTTGGAAGAAAGATAAACATGATCCCGAGTTTCAGTCAAAGCACGAGTTAGAAATGTAAGGAAACTAGAGAAAAAAAATATCACAATATTAAGAAAATAAATAAATTAGAGGACGTTTATGCTATAATTTTTTTTTTTTTCCTGGGAAAAGAAGAGAGGGAAAAACATGAACAAGCACTAAAAATCCTAATAAAATTGGCATACCAACTAATATAAAGACTCATCCCACGTTTCCCACTTAATTTGTTAAGTAAAATGAAATTTATAATTTTAATAAAAGGAAAAAAAAAAAAAAAAAAAAAAAAAAAAAGCAAAAAAGCATGATCAATGCTTACGCAAAATACAAAAAAAAAAAAAAAGACAGCCTATGCTTCACTTGGCCATGTTGGTAATAAGAATGAGAAACTAATAAGATCTTAGTAGCATTTGAAACTCTCGATTCTGTTTTTAATAGTATTCATAATAAGTTTTATATGATCTCATAAGAAATTAAATAGAACGTAATATTTTTGGACTAATCAGCTTCATTTTCGTTATAAATAAATAAGAGTGGAATAATATATACTATAAAAAAATACAGCGTATCCTTTCAAAAAAAAAAAAAATACAGTGTATCAAAATATATATTTTTTTTCAAAAAATAAAAGGTAGCGTAGTGATTTTCCTCCTCAATTAAAATAAATGACGTGTTTCTACTTTTTTTTTTTTTAAATCCTTTTACGTTCTGGTGGATATATATGCATCTAACTTTTATTTTTTATTTTTTTGTTGAAGCTTTTGAAGAGATATGCATGTTAGGTTTAGTTAAATAAATACTCATTTCAATTTTGCATAATTTTATATTCATTACTTAGAGAAAACCCTGGGGTTTTTTTTTTTTTTTGTTGGAAAGAGAAACATTATTGTTTAGATTTGTTAAGATTTTATTGCAAATATAACCTTACTAAACGAAAAATTGAACAAATCTGTTAGGTTTGGTGTCCCTAGTATTATTCAATATTTATTCTTAAAAAACCAAACCAAATATTCATCCAATTCACTATCCAAATTTTTAAAAATAAAAAATAAAAAATAAAAATAAAAGAAAAGAAAATAACGATACTATATGGAATACATATTCTAAAGGAGATTAGCTAGAAGTAAGTGAGCTAATCTCCACCAATAAGATGCTCCTAATTTCCATATAGATGTTTGTATATGTGTTATATATATATATATATATATATATATATATATTTTTTTTTTCCTTTGTTTTCTTACTGACGTAAACACTCTGATTGGAAAAACCCAACTTGCACCTTGTTTTTTTTTGGAAAGGTCAAATTCCACTTCTTAAGTAAGCCAAGGGTTCAACTTAAGCCTTGGCTTAAGACTTAAAAGCCAAGCCAGAAGCTTAACCAAGAGCCAAGCCGAACCGACACAAGAAAACAAAATAAATAAATGATAGAAAACTAAAAATGAACGAGAAAAGTAAGGCGCCGCTAATAAAAAGCAAAGCAAAGAAAAGCAAATCAACGTAAGTATTCTTTTGACAGAAAATGTGGAAAAACAAAAATATAATTATTTATTAGAATTATTTATTTATTTATGGACGTAAAGATACGAAGCCATCAAGCACGAGTCAAGAATTGTAACTCTCCCTCCAAAAAGTAATTTTATCTTTATTTTTTTATTCTCTGAAATATCTTTTTTATTTAATGCAACTCCTAATACACAACGAAAAAACACCACATTTATAAAACCTCTCATTACTTCTTCATTCTTCTCAAGTTTCACCATTCTCTCCCTCCCTCTCTCTCTCTCTCTTTCTCTCTCTCTCTAAAATTCCGATATTTTCTTTCTCAGTGAGAGTTCATCGTGCAGATGCCGCAAGTGGATTTGGAAACCTTAGTCTCGGCCTGCGCGGGCGGCGGCTCCATGGACCGGAGAATCGCCTGCGAAACCCTAGCGGACGACGGCCAGAAGCCGCCGGAGAACGACGCGGACCTTAAAGAACCGGAAGTTCCGCCGGATTTCCCGCCGGAATCTTTCTGGCTCTCGAAAGACGCTGAGTTCGACTGGTTCGATCGCAACGCGTTCTTCGAGCGGAAGGAATCGCAGAAAGGGAATTCCAATTCGACGAACCTGAATCCTGGCTCCAACTCCAATTCGCAGAGATTCTCCAAGAATTTGAAGTCCAAGGCAGCGATACTCGGCCTTCCGAAGCCTCAGAAGTCTGTCTTCGTCGACGCCAAGAATCGCAAGGCCGGAAACGCCAGGCTCTTTCCGAAGCGGTCCGTGTCGGTCGGGAAATCGGACGGTCCGATGATCGAACCGTCGTCGCCGAAGGTGTCGTGCATAGGACGGGTGAGATCAAAGAGGGACCGGAAGCGTCAGTTGAAGAAAAATCGTCAGAGATCGCATAGATCTTCAGAACCGGAGTCGGAGAAGCAAAAACCGATCGAGAGACGGAAGAAAACCGGATTCTTCTCCAGTTTTCGTGCGATTTTCAGAACCGGCTGCAGAGAAAAATCGGCACAGACCAGCGCGAGGCACTCCGAGTGGTCCGAGTCTCCGCTGCGTGAGTGCGCGAGGACGGTGGTGCGTGACATGCGCGCGCCGCACTCCGATTCTCTCCCCAGGAGGAGCGTGGAGATCGACCCGCCCGGGCTTGGCGGCCTCCACAAGTTCGCCTCTGGTCGAAGGTCCGAGTCGTGGGCCGGTGACGTTGGCGCTGACGTGGCGTGATCTTGTTCGTCGAGACCGTTTCTTGATGCGGCGATGGCGCGTGTGGGACCCACGTTGGGAAGATTGAACTGTGGATTGTCGTGATTGGTAGCCAGTGGTGGGGCCCGGTTCCGTTTTAAATTGTCGTTGGATGACGTGGAACGTTAGATAACGGTTTACCCACTCCACCCCTTGGTAAAGGCAACCTCGATTTTCAACGTTTATACGTTTTCCCATTTTTATTCTCTTTTTTTTTTTCCTCTCTTAAAAATCACCAGGTTTGTAAATACATATGTTTTTGTGAGTGCATTTGTAAATTTCCTTTTTTACTTTTTTTTTTTCTTTTGGTAATTTTCAGATTTTGAGATTTGGAAAGAAAAGAAAAATACTATTTGAAGATTTGTGTTATGATCGACATTCACGTGAGATTTAGGTTATGTTTATTTTATTGATTTGAGTTTTATTACTGTAAAAAGTTTTAAAAAATAATCACATTTAACTTTTTTACTACAGTAAAAAACTTTCACATAAAATCACATCTCAATTCGAATAAAAAATTTGAATCAACGAATTATTAAAAATAGATCACAAATGGGATTTCTTACTGTTTTCGTAATACTAATAATTTGAGGTCTATAAAATAGTTTTTCTACATTTCACATACTGAAAATTATATGATTTAATCCTTTCAAAAAAAATTATATGATTTAACTCAAAATTGATTATCATAATGTTTATACGGTTTAGTACTTAGCATGGTTAATGTATCATAAGATCAAATATTGGGATGACTTTCTTTAATTGTTCATCGGTGCATTAATCATTCCTTCATATAGGAGTCAAATATCTATTTATTGCTTCTATAAAAAAAATATCTATTTATTGCCTTTTGGCCCTTTTACAAAGTCCCTTTACTATAACGCTCCCCCTTTTTTTTTTTCCTTTTTTTTTAACAAAAAGTTATTTTTCACTATAGTTCTGGGCAGTACGGGTGTCAGCTTTCTCTATTGATATAGATCCAATTTTTGTTTTATCTGGCCAAAATTTGCCAAATGAAACCTAAGAAAAGATTGCAATCCTAGAAGGTGTGATAACGCTGTCCGATATGTAGATTATAATAAAAATGCCATCATACTTACTGGCAGTTTTTTAAAATTTAAATCCTATTACTCTTTTTTTTTTTTTTTTTAAGAAAAAAATGATATTCTAATAGATGAAGATTTCACAGTGAAAAACTGTGCCCTTCTAATAAGTGATTTAATTTGTTGTACCATATTATAGAATTATCACTTTCTTGATCCGTCTGTTCAAATTTCCCATCTAGGAGATGCCTTGTGGGTTTTGGTAACTGTGATGTGGGCCTGTGGACCCTGCTTACTGTTTGGTGCCTTCGGAAAAACCAAAGTTAAAATGGTATTATGGGAATGATTTGTCCATTGACTCTATTGTCATATTGGTGGTCTAATTGTCAATGAAAAGGACTATTCCGCGCAATTAATAGATTTTTCTTTCCTCATTTTTCACAGTTAGTCAAAGAAATTGAACCGAGATATAAGGGAAAACTGTGCCATAACTCATCAAAATCCCCATGCTAGCAGTTTCTAGGCATTCTTATCTTTCCTACTTTTAGGTTAGTCATTCTTTCTTTACCATCCGCAACTAATACCATTTCCATTATTGTCATTTTCAATATTATTGTTTTCCACTTTTCACAATGATATTATCCACACAATAATTTATTTTCCCCTTGAGCCAAACAAAAATAAGTCATTCTTAGCTGTATGGAGCCATCCATGACCCGACCAAGTCTTTTTTGGCGTCTTCCAATTATCTCATTAAACAGGGATTTAATGGATGAGAGACCACAATTATAAGTCAATGGAAGAAAAAAAATAATAGGGAACTAAAAGCATATTTTGGGGAGAAATCTAAAAATACCACGCAAACAATGTTATCTTTATATTTATGTCATCGAGTGGAATAAAATTAAGGTTTATGTTATTCTATTTACTTAAAAAATATATAATTTATTTATGATCAATGTCATAAATGTAAAATTTTTAGATTTCGGTGGCATGCCATATAATTTTCTTCATGTGTGTATGTGTGTGTGATTTTTTTTTTCCTCAAATCAATTTGGTACTCTATCCGACATCTTAAGGGGTTGTTCTTTTACAACGAAACTCAGAAAAAGTTTAAACTCGAGTTATAATTTTATTCAAGTTCATGTTCTTTTGTTAAATTTGAGTTTGAACTCGAGTTTGAATTCGAGTTTGAACTCGAGTTTGGGGCTAAACTCGAGTTCAAGTTTCCCCTTCAACTCGAGTTCTTCATAAACTCAAACTCAAGTTAATGAACAATAACTTTTTTATTCTTAAAAATGCCATAACTTTTCCGTTTTAATTCTGATTGAGATGATTTTTTTTTCTATGCATTCACAACGAAAAGATGAATAAAATCTTACTCATATACCATATTAAAATTTTTCATCACCATTGAGTTTTTATTAAAATACTATCTAAATATAAATTTAAGTTTTGACCCATCCAAACACAAACTCAAAAATATTCTTAATTCAAATTATAACTTAAATGTGCACATCCAAACACAAACTCAAGTTACAACTTCAACTCAAGTTATAACTCAAACTCAACTTAAGATCATCACTCAAGTCATCCTAACTCAAAAATGCAAAAGAACAACCCTTAACTTGTTTGGCTCAACTTTCATTCCTAAACTTTAGAGTTCAGAACAACAGTACTTTCCGTTCCGTGCATATACATTGTTTTTCTGTCGTTTATTTAGAATACGTTGATGTCTCATTTGAACTACTACGAAAGACGACAACAGATAATTTAGCTGTCACTTGTCGTCATCAAGTTCATCGTATAGCTCAATCTTGCGCCCATTTAGGAGCTGACATGGCCTTGAATTGTTCTTGTAAGGTGAATGCAATGGTGCTTTTATGGCTTCTACCTGCTCCTTGGAGATGCACCTAACCTGTATGTTTCCATTTGGTAATCATCAAAACCATATTTATATATATAATCAAATGCAAATACATGAGCTAATAAAAAGGCTTTATTGGTAAAATAACTTTCCAAAAATGTTAATTTGTAAGTAAATAGTTAAGGGGAAAAAAAAAATCATTATCATTGGATAGGTGCAAATGTTGTGATTGTCCAATATTGCATTTTGGATGGGGAAACATGCATGTGCATTCTTATAATAGTTGTCTAATATGGTCTAATATGGTCTAATATCGCAATTTTCAATTATTGGTGTTATTAATTGTTTATTTCTGGAAATGTACATGTGCATTCAAATGTATATATAATTGAATTTGATTAAGAATACTCGCGACGAGTATTATAAGGATCCATTTTAAATGGTTGCAAATTGAAATTTTACGCCCCCGTTTATTTTGCTAGTTCGAATCACAATTCTAATTTTTGTTACAAGTGATTTCTCTCATAAAAATTTAAATTTAACGTTTTTTTTGTTTCAGTATTTCCTCACACATAAATTTATTTTTTTAATTTAGGTTCTCAATTCGAATGAGTCAACTGTACGAAAACATGCATTGAAATCGAAACATACCTTTCCGAGGATGTTCCAAATGACCGTCTCGGAGCATGGAGGAGTGGTGAGAGATCCGACATATCTGTAGTACTTTCTGGTCCGCTTCCTTAGTTGTTTCAGATTCAAGGTTCCAAGTGGGATATGAGCCTCCTCGTCGCCTGCACAAACATCCTTAGCCAGCTCATGCACTTTGACCTTCATCTGCAATCAGACATATATATATATCATTTAAATACATGATATAAAGTGATAGATACATCTTAATCTAAATTATTTTCGACCTGTATAAGAATTAATCATTCTCAAATTTAGTATAATTCGACCTTGGAGAGAAGGGGATCAGGATGATCACTGTACTTGAAGAGAACTGCTACAACTGAGAGATTTCCATCGTCCGATCTGTGGACTAAATGTAGCTCTGCTGGATATCTATCATAATGAAAGTTAAGCTTTTAAATCCTTAAAATAATAATAATAATAATAAATAAATAAATAAATGAAGTTAAGTTTTGACAATAAAGTATTAAAAAAAGCACTCGGGTAAGTGAGGATTGGGCTTCAAAGGTTTTCACACCATCACAATTGAGAAAATTATAAAATTTATTCTTAAAAGTGCACGAGTTTAGATTTATATCTCATATTTTTAATTAATACCATTTTATTAATATATTTATCTTACTAAAAGATTATTAATTAAGAATAAAATATATAAATTAATTTGGACAAGGACCAGAGCCTAGTAAAGATTGGGTTCCCTAAGTCAGCCTTCTTCTTGCAGCCTAATTTAGACCCAATATGTTGAATTATTGATTGGCCCAATTAAATACTTGGCACTGTCACATTCCCCTGTGAGATCCACTTAATCTCATATTCTGGAGGAGTCGAGAGAAATATAAAAATGCGACTTAGAAAAAGCCATCTTTACATTTATGCCACCAAATAATATAAATTTAATATTTATACCACTCAATTCACTCGAAAATATCCTGATAAGGTATTAATTATTTTTTTCCCTCTACAAAAAGATGATTGGACGTCTTCAGTTTTGGTCTTCGGAGAGTATTCCGAAAGAACATCAAAATCAACAAAGAGAGGGAGAATAGACGACATAAATGTAAAACTATTGAATTTTGGTGGCATACTACGTGAATGCCATAAGAAAAGGGGCCTTGGACAGATTTTTGCTATGCTTAAAAGTTTTGAGATTAAATGTAAAAAATAGAAGATTGTGGCCTTGTTTGGAATTGATCTTGTTTTTATTTTTCACGTTTTTTGAAAAAGAAAAAACGAAAATGTTTTTAAAACGGCTTTGACGCAATAAAGACAAAAAACGGAAATGAAAATAATTTTTTGGTTTAGTGTAAAATGGGAGAGAAATAAAAAATGACTTTTTCTCTCTATGCTTGAGAGAGGAGAAAACGAAAACAAAAAATAAAAAAATGACTAGTCATTTTTTTATTTTTTGTTTTCGTTTTCTCCTCTCTCAAGCATAGAGAGAAAAAGAGAGATATTAATGAGTTTTTTTACATTGAAAACAATCTCTTGAAAAAACTACCAAACGCATTTTCAACAACAATTTCTGTCTGAGATTGAAAACGTTTTCATTTTCATACAAAAAATAAAATTATTTTAGAACGAGTTTTAAACGCATCCTGTGATTCTTAAAAAGAAATGTTGTAAGGATAATTTTATACTTATTGTTTATGAGTAATTTTTTCCTTTTTCATATTTCTCTCTTTTCTCTTGCCTTCATCCTTCCCCTACAACCCCAGTCCCGCGCCTATCATGGAGATTTCGTCCCCCTTACCCGTGGAGATGTCCCGTACCCGCTGTGCGACGTGTGCCATCGAGATCACGATCACACCGATGTTTAGATCATCACTGATGAAGAGTACTAGCGATTTCACGGTTGACCTTGTTGCCAACAGATCCATCACGATAGAAATTTCCGGTAATACGGTAGACTACCACCAACACAGAATAGTAATAGAATGCTTTCGGTCAGTGTAAAACACTGGACAACCTTCAGTTTCACAGCACATTACTGTCGGTAACATGCTAGACTATCACCAATAACCCATATGACATTATCAGGATACTTCTGGATTTCTCGTGGCTTTTCTTTTCTTTCTTTCTTTTTTTTTTCTCCCGAGCAAAATTTTCTCTCTCATGTCAAAATCAATCCATAAAAAGCCCCATACTGTCCCATGTAGATATGGTTTATTGGTTGGAGCTGCATCAACGTATTATCATTATATATATATATATATGTATATAAATGTTGTCGTTTGTTGTTATTATTGAGTAGCATCATTTTATTCCATAAGCTGTCTTAATTCAAACTCAAAACATTGTTGATAGTCATTTTGTAATTATCCAATAGTGGTATGTCTTGGTTTGCGTGATTGAACGCATAGTCATCACTGGATATGGTATTTACTGGTTCTGTTAATCCAATATTATTACCCAAATTAATAGAGAGAGAGAGAGAGAGAGAGAGAGAGAGAGAGAGAGAGAGAGAGAGAGAGAGAGAGAGAGAGAGAGAGAGAGAGAGAGAGAGAGAGTACATACTGGACTCCGTTAATACGGTGCTCAGAAGGAGAATGCCAATGCATTTGCTTCAAGGTGTAACTCTTGCCGTCCACGTCCAACACCCCTGGGCTTTCTTCAAAATGTATCTGCACTAACAACACGCAACATATATATGCACATCAATACATCGTCAAATGCAACATATATATATATATATATATATTATAAGTTATGTAACTTTTTTTCTTATGCTCACGTCATTTATAAGTGTGTGTAAATTGCTCAAGTGTAATACTAAAAATTCACATGTGTTGAACTTATTAAATGTTATACTAATTAGCAAATTAAGTGTTACATAAACGAAAAAATTATGTTACACGAACATATTAAAAACCATACACGTGCCTGACTGGTTCGGCCTCGTGACTTGAGAGTATATATGTCCACATACATAATAATTGAATAAAACTATCGGAACATGGTCTTATACTGACAGATTTGATGCACAATACAAATTGTAATTGTATCATTGTTAGTGATACAAAGTACTATTTCCCTATATCACTTTGTTTTTTTTTTTTTAAATCAAAATTAAAGCATGCATGTGACAAAAGAGAACTTGTTAGATATCAAGGGCATTCATGGTTAATTACCCAAAAGTTTTAAAGAATTAAAGCCTCGAAAATTGAGAGTACGGGGACTCTTGGGGATTTTGGAAAACGACTTCAAAGGGAAACACTTTTAATTGTAAAATGATTTCTAAGAAATTTTTATTTGCAAAATAACTTCAAAGTTTACACACCGAATGACGTACTACTTTTTCTTTATTAGGTGACCAAGTGAGTCGCTCGGTGTAAAAATAACAACAACAAAAAAAAAAAAATCATTTTGTTAATTTCACTTTCTAATTTTGGCAAACTTCTTAGGATCTCAATATATTAATGATCTCATGTTAAAGAGAGAATTAGGTAAGCAAAAGTTTAGTAAACAAACCCCAATGTTGAAGCCATTGTTGATAAGTGTGGCGTTTGCAGGCCTGTAGTCTCTGGTCAAGGGCTTCAACTTCTTGTTGCGAACGACTTCGTCTTTCTTAATGTTCACAGGAGACTGCACTTTTCCAGACGAGCACTTGTAGTAGTCAGGAGACAAGCTTCCCCATTTTGCAGGGCCCGTCAATCCCGAGTAAGTGAACAACGGCGCATTATGATCTGTTAATTTTATTTCACCGTCACAATTTAAGACTCGTTTAGTTTATGAGTTTAAATTAATGATTTCTTATTCAGACTTTCGAAATTTAAATTTTTTTATGAGAGAAAAATATTGTAACAGAATTAAAATTATAGGGTTGACTTTGAACTAATGAAACAAGCAATCCCTTAAACCATACCTATTAATATTTTCATTTTCTAAAATTACGTCTCGAGGTCTCAATTCTCGACTTTTCATTTCACTTCTTAAAACAAACAACTACAAAGAAACGTATATACTAATTGCTACGCAAAACCTTATAGAAAATGAAAAGATCACGAAATTATTGAAGACACAAAACATAAACAAAAAGAAAAGAAAAGAAATCAAATTTCATCACCATGAGAAATGGATATGTGATACCTAGTTTAAAGGTGGAAGCGCCGGCGATGAGCAATGAGAGAACCAAGATGGGCAAAGAAAGTGATGAAATCATTCTTGTGAACAATAATTGATAAATTAAAAAAAAAAAAAATTTAAAGCTCGTGAAATCTGACGAGACAGAATAACGAGGATGATATATATATGGAGAATTACAGACACTAATAAATATATATATAGTATTGCCAAAAATGGCTCTGCGTTTGTAATTATATTCTCTCTCTCTCTTATTCCAATCTTCAGAGTCCAGAGTGCCAATGCCAAACTTGGCGAGCCCTCTCAGCTATTTTTGGGAGTCTTTTTTGTCGAAATTGTCGTAGCAACTTTGTCTCACCTGTCACTGCCTATTTATACACTTGCATGTGAACTGGAAAAACAAGAAAAGAGACTAATTGTAGCAGAGAGAATAACAAACACTTATGCTCTGTTTGTTTCGAGGGTTCTGATATGGTTTAAGATCATAATTTTTAATTTGTTACAGTATTTTTTTCTTATAAAAAATTAAAATTTCAAAAATTAAAATCATAAACTATGATTCCAAATCTATCAATCAAACGTCACTTTAATTTAACCATGCACACATGATAATGCCTATTTTATTATTCTATATATTTTAAAGGATCAATTCTATAGTGGGTTTTTAAACAATTTTTATTTTAACCATTTTAAAAATATTTTATTGAATTATGTTAACCGCATACTTTTGACCAGCTCGATTCTTATTTTTTTTTCCTTTAATAAATCGTATATTATTTGATATTGTTTAAAAATGTACATTACTATATAGAATTTTATCTTCAATTAGGGAGCCTTTTCTTGTAATAAGATATATACCCCTATTGATGGTACGCATATTTTCAAGCATATGAAATCATATATAACTCGTAATTGGTGATGTGAAAATCAACTAATATTAAAGTTTGACAGATTCTATAGCCAAATTTTGATAGTTTAGAAAATGTATTTAATTTTCATGGCAACTAAATTTTACCCATTTTTCACGTCACACTTAAGAGTGGTAATTCGTGTTAATCGGTCATGTTCGTGTCAAAAAATATCAACTTAAACACGATCTGTTTATTAAACGTGTCAAAAATATCAACCCAAACACGACTCATTTATTAATCGTGTTAATCGTGTCAACCCGTATAATCCGTTTAAATTAATATATTGAATAAATAACTAATATAATAATGACTTATTTAACACGATCAAAACATGTTTAACATGTTTATTGGTTAATTTATCTTTTTCTTTAAGAAAAATAAATGAATTTTACCTTCAAATATTAAAATTCACATTATTTGTATTTAATATGTCATATAAACTTTCATGTTATTTTACATATTATTATATTACAGATGACACATATAGTTAATCATGTCAATTCGTGTCACTTTGTGTTAGGAGTTCAACCCTAACCTAACTCATTTTTTAATCGTATTAATCGTGTCAAACCGATTATGACTCAAACCCATTTATAGTAAAACTAAATCCTCTAACTTTGTGTGGATTTCGAATCGTGTCATCGTGTCGTTATCTGGATTGCCAATCCTACTCACACCACAGATGATGCGATCAAAGAATGCACGTCTTTAATTTTGTGGATATGCATGTACAAATTCCATTCAAAACAGATGAGCCACTCAAATATATTGGACCTTTTACATGATATATACATACGCATATATATATATATATATATATATATATAAATTTTAACCTCAATGTTGCTCATTACTTTCGGTGGTGCAATTTGTATGGTTTTTATAGGATCTTGTGGCACATTGGCCCAATCAGTGACTGCTTTCACTTCTGTGCATTTCAACATTCTTGCCTTTCTACTCCGTAAAAGCTAGGAACTAAATATATTATTTTTCAGCTACATAACCCATATACAATTTTGATACTGCCAAAAGCTATTATATATATGCCTGTTTGAGAGAAATTTTTAAAAGTTGTTTTTGGCTTTTTAAGTTTAAAATTTACTTTTAAAAGTGTTTAAATGATCTGTCAGAAATATTTTAATTTTTTAGAAGAACTTCTAGACAAAGCTAAAAAAATGTAGCTTCTTAAAAAAACAGTTTTGAATAAACTTTAAAACTTGTATTAGAATTTAATTAAGGCATTAGAAACTTAGTTTCAACAGTTTTATTGTTTGTTAAAAATTTAAAAATAATTTTGAGTCATTAAGCTCTTGATTCTAAACACTTACAGAAAAGTTATAACTTTTGCTTCTCTTCTTCTACTCGCTAAAAGCAAAAGTAAAATCTCCGTCGGGCTCATATTCTTCTTGCCACATGCATTTCTAATATTGTTTTCTCCAAATAGACGAGCTTCTACCTAGAACAATATTTCAAAATAATACAAAATATTTAAGTCCTTCCTAAAAATACAGTAGAAGAAACATAGTTTCATTTTCGTCTTGTAAGTATTTAATAGCCTTATTGGATGGAATTCACATGGTGATTATAAAAATTATCGCTAATTTTAATCCAATTTGGCGACATTGGTCATGTTTGGAATTTTTCTTACGTTGCACTTTAAAAATTTCTTGTCTTGAATGTCATGATTCCATTAAACAAAATGTTGATTCATCTAAGGATATGAGCAACTTATTATTATTATTATTATTTATATTATTATTATTATTATTATTATTATTATTTGGATTATATTATTCTAAAGATGAGCCACTTAAAAGTAGTGTTTATTGACTCATGGTTCATAATATTAGTGTAACATGACACAATCGAAGAAACTAGAAACTTTCTGTCTCTGAAACTCGTTTTGCACTACTATTTAATTCCAAAAACAAATAAACAACACAACCCCACAATCATTTGCACCACAAAACTAGTTAGGGCATCCCGTGATTGTTATTCGAATCCTCTTAATTAGATCTAGCATTAATTTTATTTTTCAGTAGTAGTGCTTACCGCCATGATTTTTATATTCTAAATATTCTAATCACATTCTGAGATGTAATCATTAGTTTAAGACTCATTTGAGAATTATCTATTATCAAATGACACTTCCTTTTTGAGTAGATGACATTCATGTAGACACATATAACATACATCCATACACACATTTATCTATCACAAGTTTTTAATAATTACGTTTCTATATTTAGTCAACCATTAAATATAGAGATTTAATGATATTACATAATAAAAATTTAATTTTGTTAATTATCATAAATTTTTTTATTAATTACTTAATTAATTACAACCGTTAGATCATTATCTTAAAATTAAAATAAAGATATCCACTGTAGGTTGGTAAATATTAAAATAACCATTAAATCCACGACCATATATATATATATATATATATTTATAATCAAAATTGATTTTAAATATTTAAATTAAAATAGTTTAAAATAGAATAATTATAAAATTCTATATTCACAATATTTAAATCAATATTTTATGTCTGTACGTATTTCGCGGGTCACTTTTAGCTAGCAACGACATATATTGTCGCTAAAAGTCTTTTCTGGCACCAAATGATAAAATTTACTGTGAGAATTCTGTTCTTAGCGTTTAGTGACAACAATATCATTATGAAAAGTGAGTTTCACAATGCAGTAATTCATTTTTTTTAAGCACATCTTCAACATTTGTTGTGACGACGTGTCGTCGCTATAGATGTATAGCGTCGTTGGATGGCCGCGATTCTTGTAGTGATTTTAAATTTTTACTTTATTGACTGACTCTTTCATTTCATGAGAAAGGGGAGTTAGCAACGTTAGACAAGATTGGAATGCGCATAGGAACATCAACATGTAGTGGACGTTTGGTTGATGAATTTAGAATCATAATTTAGAATCATTGTTGATTTACGTGTATTTTTTGTGAGAGAAAATACTGTAGCGAACTACGACTATGATTCGAATCATGACATGAATCTAGCAACCAAACAACCCAGTAGTGATGTACTAATAGATCTCCTAGCTGGGTTGATTCATAATAAATTTACAATTTTTTTTTCTTTCTCAATAAATATTGGTCTCTAATTATAAAAGACACACAACACCTCCACTGGTTGATTACCCATGCCTGGTTTCTCATAGACGGGACCCATTAAAGCTCATTGCTAGCACCTAGCGAACCCAACTCCACATGTTGAGAAATTATATGTCACTTTGGTTTCTGGTCCCTTTGTCGAGTAAAAGAAAATGCTAGCTCTTGCACTCTTCTGCTTTTGGAATATTCAGCTCTTATTATGTCCAAAACGTTAATATAATATACATGAAAACATGAAAAGTCCAAGATCCATTTAGCTTGAGCTAATTATCTTACTTGGCAGGATACCAACGGTAATATTATTACACATAAGCAAAATCACTCACAAGTTCACAACACCATGTGGCTTCCCGTTTTATTTGTTAATTCGATTGTGATTTTATGTGAAAGTTTTTTACTGTAATAAAAATATTAGATGTGACTGTTTCTGAGAGTTTTTTACTGTAACGAAACTCAAATTTTAAATTCAAATTCGTGAAATGAACGTCTATGTTGCATTACAATTCAAACTATTTGCTTACTTACATTCTTGAACCTCAGTGTGTGTGTGTATATATATATATATATATATAAAAGAAGAGAAAAAAGTGAAAATACAGCTAATTAACATCCATAAAAACTAAATTAGCTGCAAAAAAACAGACACGTGACACACAAACGCCTCCCACCTGACAAGATTCTAGTTATGAAGGAGCTGTCTATAAGGGGCAAAAAGGGAAAAAAAAATCACTATGGCCCTCCAGAGTCTAAAAGGGTAAACCTATTATGAATTATCATTCTTGGATTGTTAATTCTCAAGAGCTCAAGATAGTAAAGTTAAATCTTTTTTATTAAATAATGCTAATAATATCTATTTAAGAAAATACAAGTTTTGATTAACTTTTTTTTATTAGTGTTACGTCGGATTCTTTAAGTGGTAATTATTAATTAATAGTCATGAACGTATATTTTATAATTATAAGGTGACATGAAAGAAAATAATCAACACTAGTGCCATTTATAAAATGTCTTTTTTTTTATTAATTAGTACTTTTAAAAATAACCCTAAAGTACTATAATATATTATAAGCTTGAATTTATAAAACTAAAAACATGTTAAACCTTTGATATTAAGGTTCAATGATTGAGGCTTTATCTCCATGTATGATTTTCAAGAACAGACCTATTGGAGAATGTAATAAGACCAATCAATTCAAAGTGAAAAGTGAATGGGACTTGATATAAAAAGGCCATAAGATTGTATCCGCATAATGTAAATAAAGTGAAAGGAATCGGTTACTTTCTAAGGCTTATCTTATAATAACCATCACAAACACTAGAATAAACTTTTCTTCTTTATAAAAGATGAGAAGATGGCCTATTCCATTTGCCACCAAAAATGGCCATAACTTGAGCCACTTGGTTCATTGACAAGTCTTTTTTTCTCAGCTTCAGAGTGGAGATAGGGATTATCTCAATGAAAGTGAAAGGGTCAAAAAACTTGGGATATTATTGTTATGGCCTGAAGAAAAAGCTTGGTTATAATACTCTAGCCTCACAATCTGATCAAATTCATCATGAAGATATATATATATATATGGGCTGAAGTTTCTAGTGAGGCATTTTTTGACGTGACAATTTATCTCCATGCCCTAAAGTTAATAATATCATAAAACATAGGACGCGTTTGGAACTCATTTTAAAATGATTTTATTTTTTGTATGAAAATGAAAATGAAAATGTTTTCAATCTGAGACAGAAATCATTTTTGAAAATGCGTTTGGTAGTTTTATCAATATATTATTTTCAGTGTAAAAAACTCATTAATGTCTATCTCTCTCTCTCTCTCTTCGAGAGAGGAGAAAACAAAAATAAAAAATAAAAAATGATTAAAAGTTATTTTTCATTTTTCTCTCATTTTACACTAAACTAAAAAATCATTTTCATTTCTATTTTTTGTCTTTATTGTGCCAAACGCTATTTTAGAAACATTTTCATTTTTTCTTTCTTGAAAAACATGAAAAACAAAAACAAGATCAATTCTAAATACGGCAATAGATTTTAATTTTAAAAATGGTATTCATTCTGATGGGGTTAAAACTCTACACTCACAAAGTGTTAGGTCCTACTAGGTTGGATCTTACTTAGTTACCTAGCGGGACTCAACTCATGTGAGTAGCAGAATTTTAACTCTATTAGAATGAATAAGGGTGCTCTTTTAATTTTAACTAAGGAAAGGGGAAGAGAATGTTTGAATTAGTTTAGTTTGCAAGGTCTTTTTAGAGAATATAAAATATTGATTTGAAAGGTGTAATATCACTTTGTACTCTTACGTTATGTTTACTCAAATTAAACTCCTATTTAAGTTTTGATCTCTTAACTTAATTGAGCCAAACATAAATAATTCATTGTAATTAGCTGTATCCATGGTCCAGCCAAGTCATTTTTGGCGTCTTTTTATCTCATTCAGAAAGAATTAAATAGAATGATCAGAGGACTGCAAACATAGATCCATCCAAGAAAGAAAATAATATAGAATTTAATGTAGTCCTTAAGGCTCCATTAATTCGATATTGCTCTTAGATAGGTGCTTTTGGCTTTTGCACAAATTTTAGGTATAATCGTGTTTGGTAAAATAACTTAAAAACTAATTAGCATAAAAACCAATGCATTTCTAAAGCAAATTTCAAAAGTTGGTAATAGGTGCGTGGCTTTTGCATTATGATTGATACGGAAACCAACAAAAGCAAAGTTAAAAGCATAATTAAGTTTAAATCCGCAAGACATCATAGCTTCTTTGGCACAACATACATTCATAAACTTAAGAACAGAGATACCCTCCATTCTCTAGACATTCATTATTTTTCTTCCATTTATTTATTTATAATAACTTGATGTCTACGGAAATAGACAGTTTAGTCGTCGCCGTCGTCATCATCGTTGTCGCCGTCGTCATCGTCGTCTTCATTATCACTGTCGGATACCTGGACCTTGCGGTCATGCAAAGGCTGAGTTGGCCTTGCATTCTCCTTGTAAGATCCATTCAGTGGATTTCTCAGAGCTTCTACCTGGTCTTGGGAGATACTTCTAACCTACATATATTTTCAATTTGTAAAATGTCAAATCATATATTAATATTTTTAAGGTAATTAAATAAACAATTAAATAGTTGTCACTGGATAGTTGTGAATGTTGTGATTGTCTATTTATTTAAAAATAAAAATAAAAAAAAAGTTGATAAATAACTTTTGAAGGATTTTCCACATAACCTTCTTTAGGGCATGGAGGAGTTTTAAGAATAGTGTAGATGGACATGTATATGCATGTGTATTTGTGTGTCCTTTGTTATTTGTTTCTTTCCAGAAATGTACATGCACATCCATGTGCATAATTCAATTCGATCAGTCGCGGTAAGTAAGTTTCATAATTGATACATGATAATATATGAGGATTCAAATCATCTGTCTAATTTCAATGTCTAGAATGGTGTCTAATCAATCAGATTGTGCCACATCATTTAAAAAATTAAAATATCTTGTTACCTAACTTTTCCTTATTTTCATATCCAAATTTATTAAATGAAGTGTCATAATTTAATTGGTTAGACACCAATTGAAACACCAAAAATTAAACATGTGATTATTAGAGGGATCCACTTCAAACAGTTGGTTTGATAATCGGGAGTTTTGTGATTAGACTAGCCATGCTGTACAAAAGCATCCATTTGGATATTTGTTTATCAAACTATAATGGAATATAATGAAAAAAAAAAAAAGGTAAAACAACATAACGATTACATTAAGGATCATTGATTTGTTTTCTAGTATTACTTATCTATTAGGAAGTCAAATGACAAATAATCCAATTCTCTAATATTTGCTAACTTTATAAATATAAATTATGGGTGGTAATTTGTGTTGTCGTGTCAAGTTCGTGTCGTGTCATTTTCTTTTATTGACACTATAATCCTTGACACGAACACAGTCCATTTAATAATCATGTCATAATAAAAAACCTAAACACGACTCTTTTATTACAGGGTTGACATGATCAACCCATTTATTAAATTGGTCAATAAAGTGTCGTGTTAACCTGCAAACACGTTTACTACCTGTATACTGAAATTCAATTCTTAATGATAAAAAAATATTAAAAAAAAAAAAATCAACAATATAGCAAAACAGTAAACTAAATGAGAAATTCTATAAAAATGTGAGAAAACCCTAGGGCCTTCCTTATATATCACCTATTTTTTTCTAAAAAAAATATATATTTATACATATCTATATAAAACAGGTATTAAATAGGTTAAAAATTGACGTGTTCGTGTCAACCTGTTTATGACATGTTTATTAAACATATTATTTCGGGTTAATTTCGTGTTGGAGGGTTCATGTCGTATTGACCCTTTATTTAATCGTGTCTGGTGAGTTCAATCTTTTTTCTTTTTATACCTAGACCTATTTAAAGAAAACCCAAATCCACTAATTTCGTACAGATTTCGTGTCATAATCTAAATTATCAACCCTAATATTATAAATCTTATCAATATGTTTTAAAATATTTTATACATGATACATAAAGTAAGCGGGAGATAAGGTAAAGAAAGATTCAATATCAGCAATTAACTTTTCAACGATATATGTATAAATTTAGAGTTGTTTTTTTTTTGTTTTAAAAAATGATATTCATTTTGATTAAGAAGTAATCCATTTTAAGAGGATGCTAAAACTAGCATTCTCTTTTCTCATTTTCTATCCAACTACAATTTTTTTTTTATTTTGTGAATAAACACATAATTTTTTTTTTAAAATAAAGCTTTTAGGCCTCATTTGCTTCGCAGATTCGAATTTTCAATTCGAGTTAAAATTTGATATTTTTTTAGAGTTTGTAACTGTTAGAGAAAAAATTAAATGTGACATTTTTTAAAAATTTTTAACTGTAAAAAATTTAAAACTGAAAACTTAAATAAGTGAAATTAACAAAAACTTATATAAAAAAAGGATAGACTCCTGCTTTTTCTATTTTGTTTTTATGCAAAGTAAACACGCCCGAATATATTCATACCTTTTGAAGGACGGTCCAAATGACCGTCTCAGTGCATCCAGGAGTGGTGAGAGACCCGACATATCTGTAGTAGTTTTTGGCCTGGTTCCCAAGTTCCGTCAGATCCAAGTTTCCAAGGGGAAGTCTAGCCCCCTTGCCTCCACAACTCACGTTGGGCAGTTCAACCAATTGCTCCTCAATCTGCAATCCCAAATATGCAACTTAATTACATAATAGTGGTAGATAAATCTTAATCTCGAGGGCCGTTCGGTTTGTTAATTCGAGTTTTTAATTCAAGTTGAGATGTGGTGTTGTGTGAGAGTTTTTTATTATAACAAAAAAATTAAATGTGACTGTTTTTGCGAGTTTTTTACTGTAACAAAACTCGAATTCTAAACTCGAATCAGCAAAATAAACGGAGAGTTGTACAAAATTTAATCATTTCTCAAAAAAATTTTTTTTTTTTTTTTTTTTTTTTGACCTGCTCGGCGAGAAAGGGATCTACAGAATCATCATCACTGGTGTAGTTGTAGAGTATTGATACAACTGAGAGGGTTGCGTCAGCTGCCTGATGAACTAAATGTAGCTCTGCTGGAAATCTGTAATTAATGAAGTAATTGATTATAATTTATTGATTAAGCATTCAAAGTAAAGGAGAAAGGGGAAAGGAGACGTGGGTTTGAATTGGATTTTTATTCATTACTTTTTTTATAAATATCTTAATTAATCAAATAACTATATTGAATTGGGTTTGATTGGGCTTTAAAATTTGCCATTTGGGCTAGGCCTGTAGCGTACCTAGTAAATATGGGCTTCACTATTAGTGGGTTGATGTAAGAGGTAAACTAGGCCTCGTACTATATATAAGAAGTCTAATTATTCAATCATATATATATTTTGAAGAAAAAAGAAATATTCAATCGCATATATCATTTTATAAGGAAATTAAGTTCAAATCTTTTTATAGAAGCGGAATATTCAAACAACAAACTCTATGCTTGGTATCACGCCCCCAATCTCTTTTCTCTAGAGTTCTTTTTCTTTTTGCGATTGGTTTAGTAATATTCCGACGGAAATATTTGGGGAGTGGTGGCAGATTGCCGTCGCATGGAGGTTTGCGGTTGGTTAGCATTGGTAACCTAGTATTATACTGTTAGTGGTATTTTTGACAATATTCCATATCTGTTGATGTTATATATTTTTTATTTTTTACTTTTGGTAAGATATGACTAGAGGAGATTCACTAGTACGGGTGTGCAACAAACCATTCACTAGTAGGGGTGAGGAGATTCGCTAAAAAAATCAAACCAAACTAAATAAATTTCTATCTATATAATTTTCCTAAAATTATATATATTTCATATATATATATATATAACTTATTTATATTTAAAAAACTCTTTTATTCTAAAATTAAATGATCATAACCTTCGAAGTTTCTATCATAACCTATATATACAGTGCTACTGTGTCTGCGGTTTACCCTCAAGTTCTCTCCACTCCTCTCCTCTCATTCTCCACTCATTTGAATTCTAATCGTGATTTTCTCTAAAGCCTTATCTCTTTGTTAATGTAAATATAGCCCTTGTAATAATACGTGTCTTTAGTTTGCCTATTTTATTTTCTTTCATATATTTAAAAAAAACTTAATATCATATTTAATCATGAGTCACAACTTATTATATGAATATATCCATAATTTAATTGCTTTGACTTCATTTTGTCTTTAGAAGAAAGAGAAAAAAGAGACAAAAGAGCACATAAATAGTTATTGTTAAGATTTAAGAAGAGGTTGTAAAATATTAGTTCAAACTAATTTGAAAAACCAAACAAAACCAATTACAATCAGTTTGGTTTGGATTGAATTTGATCCCTTAATTGGTTTGATTTGGTTTGAAAATCTCTAAACCAATTTATAATTAATTTAGTTTGCATTTCACCTAAAATAATCGGTTTAATTGGTTTGTAGATTCCTATTCACTAGTCCTCAAAAGTCACTTTCTTACAGCAAAAATCATCCACAAGATCTGAATTTTATCTCACTAATTACCTCTGCCATACAATCATATATATGGCTAGGTGTTGTGTTGACAGCACCAGCGGGAAGCAACAATAATATTATTTCCTTTTTATTTTTATGTTATTATTGCTATTAATTACTAAATTGAAATAACATTTTTTGTGCATAATTTCTTTTAATATTCTCCATGTCTAAAAAATATCGTAGATAGTCATTTTGTTATCCCATATATTAGTGTGACGTATTTGTTTTTCCAATGAAAGATTTGTCAAAAATTGTATATTATCACTAGAGATGATATTTCCTAGTTTTAGTCCACTACATATTAACCGATTAATTAATACACAATTTGTGAGAGAGAGAGAGAGAGAGAGCATACTGGTATCCATCAATTTGGTGCTCAGAAGGAGTATGCCAATGCAATTTTATCAAGGTGTAATCCTTACCGTCCACGTTCAACACACCTGCGCCGCTTTGATCTTCAAATTTTACCTGCATACGGACGTATGTGACATAATGCACATGATCACAAAACAACGTACACCACACAGCATAAAATTATCACAATATAAATATATTTTTTTTCTTGTTTCTTTTCGTATTCTTTCAGTAACATCATATAACGTTAATTAAAAATATTTTAACTTATATGATCTTACGAGTGATGTTTTAATTAACATGTCATTTTAATTGATGTGATATGATATTATTAGAAGGGTATGAAAAGATACACGAGTCCAATATAAACAGTAATTATACCATTCACTTTTGTCTCCTTATTCCGATTTGCTCTTATGTTCATCAAGTAATATATCATTTCATACTAATTAAAATATATGTCATATTAATTAAAAGGTCACGCGACTCATACCAATTAAAGTATTTTAGTTGACATGAATGATATTATCAGGAGAAACAGGAAAAGGGATAGAAATAAATATGTTAGCCGAATCCGTGACAAGTGATACATACATAGCATATTATCTTTTAGGTTTTGTTGTTGTTGGTTTTTTGTTTTTTGTTTTTTAAAGAAAAGAGAAAAGAAAAAGAAAGAAACAAAAGTGTGAGTGTGTGTGTGTATGTATATATATATACACGTGATAAAAGATATTGGTAAATAAAACATATACATGAATGACATGCATACACTAATTTAAGTACCAGAAAGGTTTCATAGAATCTACAACCTCAGAAATGAGCTCAAATATATCAACATTCATTATCTTAAGTATGTTGAAAGGAAAAAAGGGAAACAAACAAGAACAACAACTAGATTGTAATTAGAAGCACAAGTTAAACATACTCCAATGTGGTAGCAACTGTTGATCAGTGTGGAATTTACACTGCTGCTGTACTTTCTGTTTAAGGGATTCAAAGTACTGTTGAGAACAGCTTCATCCTTCTCAATGTTCACAGGAGACTGCACAGCTCCATTCTTGCATGGCACGTAATCGTTAGATAAGTTTCCCCAATACTCGGGCCCCGTCGGGCCCGAGTAAGTGAACATCGGCGCTGTCGGATCTGGTACAAAATTTTTCAACCGCGTGGTAAGTAAAACCTCTTAACTAATTATTCTATAAATCTCTACTTTTCATTTCACTTTAAAAGACAAAGTGTGCAAACGAAAGTATTAATTAGTAATATGAAAGCCCTTATAAAAAATGGAAAGATTTTGTATTATAAGTAAATTATATCTCAAAACACTAATATTATTGAAGAAACAAATAATCAGATAAACTGATAATAATTGGATTACGTATTACCTAGGGCAGAACTGTCAATTACAATGATCAGTAACGAGAGAACCGAGATGGACACAGAAAGTGAAGAAATCATTCTTGTGATCATTATTTGAACTTAAAAAAAAAAAAAACGTGAAAAATCAGACAATTGGATCAAAAAACGAGGATGACATGTGTTACAAACACAGTAATACACTCACTCTCCCTTATATATATCCCAATGTACTCTCTAGAGTGCCAATGCCAAACTTGGCGAGTTTTGAGCACCTGAATTTGCTTCACATGTAGTTGCCTATTTATAGACATGCATGAAGTGGAAAAAACAATATTAAAGAAGAACCGTAGTTGAGAAGATTAAAAATACTTCTTTTATACGTAGAAAATAACAAATACTTTAACCAGCCACACATGATCGTACGTGCTTACGTTAGTAGGATATGGAAATTCAAATACCCTCGATTCCACTACAAGGTGAATACTCAAAAATACCATAATCGTAATAAAATTAGTTAATTGTAAATTATCAAGGATACATCATTGATAAACCCATAAGTTATGCATCTTTTGTTGCATATGAATATTATATATAGGGTAATATATACACACATATTCTTTGATAGTTTTCGTTCTTGAGCTCTAAATTAGAAAATTAATCTCTGAATTTTTATTTTCCTTGATAGCTTTGACCCTCGATAATTATATAAATAGTTGTATTAATTGCAAAGTATTCTACTTTGCAATGGATGTTAATAATAATATTTACATAATGTAACTATTTATTCACAAATATAAGTTATCATGTGTTTGAAATATATAATTACCTTCATTAAATTTTTTTAAAACGCCCTTCGCCATAGTTTAGGAACTAACGAATGTGTTTGGAGTTGTTTTTGTTTCTATTTTTCACGTTTTTCAAGAAAAAAATGAAAACGGAGAGAAATGGCGTTTGACATAATTAAAGATAAAAAATGAAAATGAAAACGATTTTTTGGTTTAGTGTAAATTGAGAGAGAAATGAAAAATGACTTTTAGTCGTTTTTCATTTTTTGTTTCCATTTTCTTCTCTAGAAAGAGAGAGAGACATTAATGGATTTTTTTTATACTAAAAACAATCTCTTGATAAAACTACCAAATACATTTTCAAAAATGATTTCTGTTTGAGATTGAAAATGTTTTCATTTTCATTTTCATACAAAAAACAAAATCATTTTAAAACGAGTTATAAACGCACCCAACAATATTGTTAATAAACTTTAATAATATCAACTATCAAGATTGATTAATATGTAAATTTGGCAGGTTTAGTGAAAATTTAATTTGTTTTGCTGATCTAGTGAAAATTTGATTATCTAAAATCATTTTTTTTTCTCATTCTCACTGTGGATTCCACAATAGCTTTGGATAAAACCGTACGGCACATTTACTAGGTTCCTTAATTTATGTAGACTTTCGTTTTCAAATAGATCAATAATTTTCTTGGCAACCAAATTTTACCCGTTTTTTCATGTCACAGACCACAAACCATAACAATGATTCAGCCAAAGATTTTTTTTTTTTCTTTGTTGCTATCCACATATAAATCCCATTCGAAATATATATATACATATATTTGAGATATTTACCATTTTATACCTTATACTCTGGGCTTATTTAAAAACTATACCTTTAATTTTTGAATATCTCATAAAATATATACCTTCAAATTAGATTTAATACACAAATTTATACCTTTTCATGGTCAACCTGCAGATTTAACCTTGAAAATACCTAAAATGATCTTGAATAAAAAATAGTAAATTGAAAAAAACAAACTAAAAAAAATTAAACTTAGAGTTTTGACCTCAAAAATATGCAAAATATCCTTGAAATGTTTTTTTTTTCTATTTTTATTTTTTTTAATAATGGAAAGTGTTAGTTTCTTTTTTTTTTCTTAAGGACAATTTGGTTATTTTAAAGGTCATAATCAATCGTGGGCCAAAATAAGGTATATATTTATATATTAAATCTAATCTAAAAGTACACATTTAATGAGATTAAAACTGAAATTATACTTTACTGAAATTATACTTTTTAAATAAACTTAAAATATGGAGTATAAAAATATAAATATCCATATTTATATTCTACCTAATTGTTGCTCATACCATTAACTCTCGGTGGTGCAATTTTGAATGATTTTTGTGGGAGCTTTGGTGGAAATCACCACCACAAAGTGGCAAATTGGCCCAATTAGTGACTGCTTTCACTTATCTGCAGTACATTCCTACCTTTTCTAATTTCATAAAACCTAACCGACTCATATGGATTATTTTTGAACCATATAATTAATAATCCACATACATCTTATAAAATTTCATGTACTACCAAAGGTTGTTATATACTTTCACATGCTTTTGGTAACATCATTTTCTCTAAATATTCTAGACGACCTAAAGAACGAGCTTATATCTAGAACAATTTTCAAAACATACGAAAAATATATTGGAGGAGATAATTTCATTTCTATCTCGTGAGTTTTAACACTCTTAATAAAATCTGTGTAGTGATTATAAGAATTAGTGATGAGTTTAATCGAATTTGGAATTGGTCACCTTTATCATGATATTGTCTAGCAGTTTTCTTACATTGCATCATAGCTTCTTGTCTAGAATGTAAGGATTCCATTAAAGAAAAGAAAGTTTATGTTGTGAAACTCGTTTTGCACTACTTCTTTAGTTCCAAGGATGAAAATGTCCACGGTATTTTCATGACATTATTTATATTATGAAGTCTCGACATAGATAATAGAGGAAAAGATATTCTTACTAGAGTATTCACAAAATGTCCAATCTTATTATGAATCATGGATCCGTACAATACGTAAAAAATGAGCCGTATTCAATAATACGGCGTAGACTATATTAATTTACCATCCGCATTAATTTATACAATATAATAGTCACACTAAACATTATATAATTAATAGATTATTATACAATACAGTGCTTTAAAACGGTCTAAAGTTTAAAAAATGGCATAAGTCTTTTATCGATTATTCCTCTATAGTTAGGGGGCATCCCTCTAGGTTTCCCTTTGCACCACAGCCAAAAGGGCGGGCATTAGACTATATATATATATATATATGTGTGTGTGTGTGTGTGTGTGTGTGTGTGTGTGTTTTTAAAGTCTCGTTATTCACTTGTACTATTTTAATGTAAAAGTTAGGCTTAAGTTTTTAATAAAAATGGTATATTTGAATAAACTCTTTAGAAGTGGTGTTCCTGTGATTCGCCCCCACGCCCACGCCCGCGCCCGCGCCCGCGCCCCAAAAAGCTTTCAAACCAAACATGAACAAACTGCAAAACTATACACTACAGAGACCTCGTCACTATTATGTGAATCCTTTTACATACAGGACTATTTTATTCTTTATTAGACTTCAAAAAAGAAATTTGTTCTTCACTAGTAGTGTTTCTAGGACTTTTTTATTGTGACTTAACCACTTTTTTTTATTGTTAATATAACTTAACCACTTTACACACATCATTCAAGATCAAAAATTAAAGATGCTATTGAACATGTGGGTGTAAAATGCAAAGTTGCTGCATAATGTCATTACATTCAGATTTCATCACAGACTCTGGGCATCAAGTTATGCACATTATTCCATGCGAACAAACTTTTGAGTAAATATGTCGATTGTAGCTTGTACAAGAATAGGCTACGGCTTTTATCACTAGAGACGAGAAAAACAAAAAACAAAACAAAAAAACTAGGAAACAATATGTGTATAAAAAATAAAAAGAAAAGGAAAGGAACTCAAAAGTCTGCAAAAATGCATTATTGAACCGCATAAGTTGCTCTTAAATATTCTACAATTTCTGCACTTTCAAACATTTCCACTCCGGTATTTGGATCTTGTAAATAAGGTACCTGGTAATATTGTAGTAAGATAAAACATCCTTTTGTTAGTTCGACTCCCCTAACATATCATGTAAATCTACTTAGAAAATAGAAATGATTAAAATGACATCGCGGAACAATGTCCATTAGAGACATTTTGAAGTACCTGAAAGTGTCCAACTTTATCGTATAGGATCTGTCGTTTTGCGCTGCCACGGGCGCAACTGAAAAGGGCATCCAAAGAAATGCGTTTGTAAGAATTTTTCACACACGAAGAAAAGAACATAAAAAAGAAGCCGAAAAAATAGGTGCTAGGCGGATGGAATGTTTTAGAACATTATATATGATGTGGATACTGAGTTATAATCAACATAAGAACATAACATAAAAGTCAGAGTCTCATTGAGTTTAGAATCAATATACATATATGTTGTTTCTGCACATATGCAATTTCCTGATATGTTTATTTACCTCCGCTGTATGTGGGGTAGCTCTAACTCAACAAGCGCTTCACGTACATATTTGCAAAAGGGGGATCCCTATAAGAGAAAGAAAAAGGTTTTAATCTAAAAGTATGAAATTCAAACATGGAAAAAATTATTAAAAAAAAAAAAGGGACATGAACATGGTAGCCACGGGTCTTGTCTATTAAAGTTCAAACATCAGAGCTTTGTTAAGGAACCAACCTCATATGCCCATATTTCAAGTGGCTTAGGCGGTAGTTTTGCAGGAGAATAAGTAGATCCCTGAGCACAACACAAGAAATGGTTACAACAAAGTGAACCATAAAATTGTTGTGGCATCAAGATCTCAATTCCTCAAATAGTACATGATACAAATTGAATTTATTATATCATGAAACTTTCTCAAAATTAGATGATATGTCAAATACGAAAGAGTCCTCTTTTGATTAGACTTAAATAAGATTACAGGAAAAAAAAAAAAAAAATCTAACCTTGCCTGACCGGCCCACCAAAGCAAGACCTGCAGTTATAGTCTGAAATGAAAGAAAAGGAAAAAAAATAATAATAAGAGAAGTAAATAATAACACAATACAAAAAGAAAAAAGCAGAAACCAACTGCTTAATAGAACACTCGAATGCTAACCGTTAACAAACCAAGTGATAGCGTCAATGGAACTTTTCCATCACCTGTACATACGCACACAAAAATTATGGAACAAATGTGGAGTTGATGCACCAGAAACTGAAATGAATGTAATCGTAAGGACAATTAAATGCCAAAGAAACGAACAGATTAAAACGAAAGCAAGATGGTCACACACCATATTTTCCAACCAAGTACTTGATTATGTCATCTGATTCATACATTGAAACTCCAGTGTTTGGATCAACCTGTGACACATGAATTTTCAAGTTTACCTCCTACAAAAAGTCACCACCTTTGCCAACAAGGTATAATGTTACAACATGCTTAAAATGCTAATCTTAAGTATAATGGTGACGACGTAACAATAGAAAATGATGCTTTTGCAGAAAAATGTAGAGATTATAACTAGCATAGTAATTAAAAAAAAAAAGAAAAAAGAAAAGAAAAAGCCCGTTGTAGCATAGGGTAGTTCGGAAGATTTATTAAACTATATTAAAAGCTAAAATTTGTGTCAATAAGTAGAGATTTATTGCTCTAACTCGCAATTTTCCCTTAGTTTCAAGTATTCTATATATATATACACATATAAGCATGCTAATCTTTTTGTTGAATCTAAGTTTGATAATTTGATAATTTCTATCTATGATTTAATCCCCCATGGATGCGGGGAACAGAGAAAAGGACATAAAGGAATTTGACTAACCATGTAAGGGAATTGCTTTTTTCCACCCAGCTGAATAGCCTTGGGACGGAAGTTGGGACCATTTCTCGGGCAAGGATAGTACAGGACATCAAGATCCAACACAGCAACAATTTCCCTAACCTGTATGTAGTTAAGATGTCAATTCGCGCCATAAAAAAAAGGGTGTAACACGTGTTTGGAATAAATAGTTAGCGAGTGAAAACATGAAGAACTAAGGACTGTCCCAACGGACATTAAACATTGTAGAAACTTTATGTCAAACGAAAGTAACCAAATATTCGATGGGACATTTGAACTATTATATATACCAATGACATTATTAAGTAGAAGAAGTACAGAAAACTGTTGAAAGAAAATTCATAGTTCTGAACCAAAATGCTTTCGGGATAAAAGTTACCTTCCGACAAAACGGACAGCTATAAGTCCATTGCAATCCAGGAGAGAACAATATGAACAGTCAGTCTTTCATTTTGTAGAGTGTCAAAAAGGAACAAGATAATAGGTAAAAAGGAAATTAATCCAGCTCCATTCTAACTAAATGATGTGGAAAATGAACTACCTCTCAAATTCATATATCTCAATGGGCTTCTCTGGGCGAGGGCCTAGTGTTGAAGTCTCTTTGACCTTGAAACCTGTCGTGAAACAATTTTAAAAAACGCAAAGGGAAAAAGAAAGAAATATATTAAGTTTCTTTTTCCCTCTGAATATGATTTTACTATTACACTAGCTCCTCTCAAGAATACAAAAAGCATATAATGAAGTTAAAGGATTACCATTGACTTCAAGTGCATACTGGCCCGGTGGAAATTCATCCTTGGGAACAAAAGATACAGAATATCTGAAGTAAGAAAGCACACATTCATTAAAAAACAAAAAAAAACAAAAAAAACAAAAAAAACAGAAACCCAGCAAGAGACTATATATTACTATATTTAAGCAAAGTGAGAGATGACATAAATGCTATATTGTATATGTATGTATTGCCTCAACCGCTATCCACCAGCCTGTTTGGTGCGCAAGATAGAACATTTGATATGATAATTTTGGGGGATTGAATTGGAGTGTATAGGAAATAATAGAATTAAATTTTAGTTTAATCCAATCCATGTTAAGTGTTGTGTTATTGGGATAAGGGGTTTATTTATTTATTTTTTTTTGCAAAAAATTTTAAACTTTGGGGTCAAATCATAATTTTTCAAATTTAAGGGGCAAAAAATATAATTTTAAAAAATACTTGTGACATGAATTTCATATTGGCCCCTCAACTTTAAAAAATTTGCAATTTGATCCCATAGTTTATAATTTTTTGCCAATAGGTTTCTAAAAGTTTTTCACAATGTGCTTTAGTTAAAAGTTTGTTGTGTTTAATCCCATGCTTCAGCAGGGCATAGCTTAATCCCTTTCTAAGGGAATTTGAGCATGGACAGGTTTTTTTAAAAAAAATTTCCAAACACAGTATTAAAATTCAATTCTATCCAATCTTCCCTAATCCTGCACAGAATTAGAGTCACAGTAAACATTTCTAGGACTCAGAAAGCCTGATTAGCAGACTTAGAGTCATATTGGGACCTTACTCAGCCTTTATTTACTAGTGATAAATTAAAACTGATATATATGTGAATAATGTATTTATGCGCATATATTACGTCAATTTATCTCCTTTTCCATTCCTTTTTTTTTTTTTTTGCCCCCGACACTCTATAAAACAAAAATGCTTAAGAATAATCAATATTATAGAAACGACATCTTATAAAGATAACAACTGCATAAAAAGCACAAACTTCTTGAAAATGACAACAACCTAAGGAAACGACAAAAAATTAAAAAACCACATCTTCTAAATAAAACTACAAGATCACAGGAAAACATGATGCTTGAAACAACCATAAATAGACGTTACAGACCGACATTATTCCGCACAAGTCGTTAACGTACAAAGACGACATTGTTATAATAAAAGAGCAACATATTAAGAATACGACAAGATAAAATAAAAACGACATATCTGAAATACGACAATTGATAACTACGATGATAACATTTTTTTTGGTTCATAACAAAGGAAAAGGACAGTATAAATGACAAAATGAGATCGCTTGTTAAAACGACAATACTAGAAAAAGCTTAATAATATGAGGGAAACGACACTATGAAGAAACAATATTTACAACGACAACAGTAGTCGAAATACGACATCCTCGAAGAATATTGACGACGAGTTAGTAAAATTACTATATACACCGGAAGAAGACTGCATCTAGAAACGAAACGTTACATACAGAACACGAGACATGATATATAAAACGACAATTTTGTAGACCGATAGTTTAGTAGAAGATGGACGACAACATTAATCAAACGACATTATGATAGTAAAACCATAGAATTTATACACAACGACGACAGCATCATATTAAATGTTAAAATCCTTCAAAGACATAACCTGAGAAGATTAGCGACATTCGCAAACGACATATGTTTAATTAAACGTGAATACCATAGGATATGGACAGGCTGGCGGATAAACAAACAATCAAGGGAAGCACAATAAAATGACAACATCTTGATAAAATGGCATTATTTATGAAACGACACTATCATTGAAAACCATATACAAACGACTAAAAAGTAATTAAACGACAGTGTTCAAGAGTATTAACAAAAAGTCGTTAGAGAAAAGCGACAATGGTTGCGTTTGGAGTTATTTTCGTTTTTGTTTTTTACCTTTTTTGAGAAAAAAAATAAAAACGGGTGTAAAGTGAGAAAAAAATAAAAAAAAAATTTTTTATTTTTTTATTTTTTAATTCCGCAGATATTAATAGATTTTTTAAATAATTTTTAAAAGCGACAATGGTTGCGTTTGGAGTTATTTTCGTTTTTATTTTTTACCTTTTTTGAGAAAAAAAATAAAAACGGGTGTAAAGTGAGAAAAAAATAAAAAAAAAATTTTTTATTTTTTTATTTTTTAATTCCGCAGACATTAATAGATTTTTTAAATAATTTTTTAAAAAAATTATTAAACGCATTCTTACAAATAATTTGTGATTGAGATTAAAAATATTTTTATTTTTATTTTTATAAAAAAAAATTATTTTAAAATGAGTTAGGAACATATATTTATAAAAGGACAACGTCGTTCCAACTCAGCCTAATTGAAAAAACGACATAATCCTAAACCCGACAATACCGCCAGAAAAACGACACAATTTAAAGATGACTGGACTTACGTTCGGGAAAAACGACACTTTCTTGAAACAGTGTTTTTTCACTGTTCTAAAAACGACATTCATTTGAAAACGACAACATACTTAAAACGACAATCATTTGCGCTGGTGAAATTCCTAATTACACAGAAACTAGAGAAGAAGAAGAAGGAGGTACTGCAACTACTGGGAATGGAAGTCAGAAACATTTCTTTAAATTTCACTACTTCAGACTTCACAGTAAAGCCGAGAAATTCAAGGAATTCCATACCCGGAAGCGAAAACGCCGGTGCCGAAACGGAAGAAGAGAGCAAGAGCAGCTCCAACAATGTCCCAAGCCTTATCGGGCCTCACTCCGAACCTCTTCGGCTCCGGAGGCTTGAAATTCGGCGGCGGAGCAAACGTCACCGACGACGACGAAGACGAAGAAGAGCCGTCCGACGATGCTCTGACGGAGAATAGGCGATTGGGCGTCGTACGGCGCGAGATTAGCGGAGCGAAAATCGGAGCATGGGCGAGATTTAGGGCGCCGGCCATGGCCTAATGGAGCTCTGAAATTGAACGGTTTTTCCTTTTTTGTGTTTAATGGTGGTTTGTGGTTTTGGAAATGATGGAGTTTCTGACTGATTGATTAATTTCACTTTCGTGGCCGTGAATGGGACAAGTACTATTAGTCCCCACAGTTGGCTTGCTAGATTCTTTTGTTCTTTTTCTTTTTTTTTTTTTTTCATTTTTCACATTTGAAAATAATTTTAAAAAAAGGGAAAAAAAAAAGAACTAAATATAATTTGATTGGGTGGGATTTGGGAATGGATATTTGGGGGAAAGTTGTGATTGGTGAAATGGATCTTCTTTTTCATGTTTGAAAGTTCTAGTTCATGAAGGACATGGAAAAAAAAAAAAGGAAAAGAGAAGCTAAGAAGCACGTGGACAACGTTATAGATATTCAAGGTCGCATTGTCCTTGTTCTTAGTTCACGGTGACAACTGACAATCATCTATTATTGAGCTGGTAAGTATAAGATGCGAAAAATTTTGAAAATTGTCAAGGTCATTTTTTCTGTTAATCTTTATATTTATATTTATATTTACAGTTTAATATGTGAATTTTATTAATATAATATAGTATTATTTAAATAAAAATATGATAATAGAGTTTACGTATTTAATAATGAATGTATAGAGTGATTAAAAAAAATAATATTAATATTTTTTTATAATTTTTTAAAGACTAAGAGTGTCTGAGAATTTGAATCATGATATCGTATTGTGTTTTGTTAATTTTTGCATGTATAAATATTTTATTTCTTTTTATTTTGATGGGAGTTTGACGTTTAAAAATATGCCTAAAGTTGATAAAAAAGATTGCTAAAACTCATCTGTTTAAAAATGGAATACTTGTTAGTGATTGAATTTAGTTTGAGAGTTGTGCATGTGAGCAAGTGCAAGTGCATTGTTTTTGTGAGTGATCATTGGGATTAGTCCTCGAGTTCAAATCAGAATGCCTCCTTCAAGGAAATATTAATAAAGTGAAAAAAACAGAAAAGGTGCATGTTTTAAGCTTTTTTATTTTTTGGGCATGTGGGTTTTGTGTGTTTAAAGTTACATGATTGTATGAGGATAACACATTGAATTAGTAACATTTAAAAGTGGTATGATTGTATTTGTATGACACATTGATTGGAATCATGGAAAAAATCAGAAATACGGTAAATAATATTATTTGTCACTTTACACAAAAATAAACAATTATTATTCAAATAATAAAAAAAAACTAAAGACAATATGACACTTAATTATTTAAAATAATATAAATGATAAATCTGCGTAAAAAATATGACATAAGGGCTGTTCACGCATAGAAAGTGGGCTTTCAACTTTCAATGTAGGTTTCAAACTTTGAAGCCCGTAAGCCTAATGGGCTTTCAACGTTTCTGAGTTAAAGAGATGCAGTGTCCACCTTGATTCGAGTTTTTAATTTGAGTTGAGTGTGACTTTATATGAGAGTTTTTTACTGTAATAAAATAATTAGATGTGATTATTTCTGAAAGTGTTTTACTATAGCAAAACTCGAATTGGTGAAATGAAGAATATTAAATTACCAGTACAAAATAATCCCCAGAACCAACCAACAGTTGGGTGCCATATATGCACCGATCATAATTGGTTGGGAAAAATGTATTTTATTTCGTTATGCCATTTCATCTCGTAGATATCTAAACCGAACCAAACCGAACTAATAGAATATAATAAAAAATAAATTTTTGTAATGATCAGTTAAAAAAAAAAAAAATATATATATATATATATATATATAGACCAAAATCCTAGTTTTGTTCTTCATAAGTCATTAGTTATTTGTAAAGTAGATTTTTTACGTAAAAAAGAATAAAGGAAAAAAAATACAAAAGACAAGCTAGTTTTCATTTCTTGTAGTTGGTGACCATAAAATTGAACGGCTCGGTTTAGTCTGGTTTTTGTGCAAATAATCGGAACTCAGTACAACCCTTTAAAATTTATCCTTTCTTTCTTCATATAAAATTTATCCTATGTTGCGTTTAGATATTATACACCTACCTCCTATTCATCCTACATAATGCCATGTCTTTGCCCCCACAAACCAATAAAAGGAGACAAGCAAAAACCTTTGTGTGAATATCTATGTGATCACACCGTCGTTATACTTACAAAATCCATGCAGAGTGCTTTTGATCCATATATATATATATATATAAACTGAGATATTTAATTTCATTAATGGTACTTTAAGAGAATCCACTCAAACATTGGAAAAGTGGCAACTATTTCAACCCAATAGTGAGTTCTCTGGCAATTCAAATTGCTAGAAGGGTTATTTTAGTCACAAATGTGCATGATTCATCTATGGAATTTGGGTATCCACTATTATATATTCAGATGGTTTGGAAGGTATAGGTCAATTGATGGTTCATATATTGCCCGGCAGCTCGTGTTAGATGAGAACTATGCAAATTTGAAAAGGATCTACTTTGTCGCTGTGCATGTTTTTAATGTTAGATTTACTCAAAATCACATCAAAACGAAAAAAAAAAGTTGTACATAATTGACAGAAATTTAAATAGATCTAATAGTTTAAAACAAAATCTAAATATGAGTGTGAAATTGTGTGAACACAACCCGTTTAGTTCACTAATTCGAGTTGAGATGTGACTTTATGTGAGTCTTTTTACTGTAAAAAAAAGCTAAATGTGACTGTTTATGAGAGTTTTTTTACTGTAGTAAAAATCGAATCGGTAAAATGAACGGAGTTTTAATATGAAAGTTATAAGACAAAAAAGAATGAAAGTAGGAAATTTATGAGAATTATATTAAATCATGTATATACTTTTTTCTTACTATATTCATAACAACTATATTTATATTAGGGGGCGTTTAGTATGCAGTAATCTTAAGGATGGAAATGAGAATCTGCAATATTACCATGTTTGGTACAAGAATTATAATTTTTAGATTCCCAGAAAAGTGATTACCATGGGATTCACTTTCCCTCATTTTAAGATAATTTGAATACCACCAAACATGGTGTTATTCAAATTCTCATGAATCTCAAAATCATGGGAATCTTATTATTGTTATTATTATTTTTATTATTATTGTTAGTTTTATTGTTATTATTATTTTTATTATTGTTAATATTATTATTAATATTAATATTATTTTTATTATTATTATTATTTTTATTAATAATAATAATATTATTATTATTTTATTATTATTATTGATCTTCTTCCATGCGAACAACCAAACACATTATTATTTTTATTGTTATTATTATTGTTATTATTATTATTTATTATTATTATGGATCTTCTTCCATGCGAACAACCAAACACAGTAATGTAATATTTCTGAGAATTTGAAAAAAAATCATGCATGGAACCAAACATAGTAATGTATTATTCTTAGGAATCATATTACCCTCCATCACTTTCCTGAGAATATGATTCCTACTGATTCCTGCATACCAAACGTCCCCTAATGTGCTTATGTTTCCAAGAGTTTATCTGGTGACTGCTTTGATATTCAAGATATACAAATGTCTCTTCTTGCTAACATTATATTCCTCACAGTGGGAATGAGGCAACCCACCTTTTGGCTAATTTGTTTTCTCTAATTCCAAGTGCGTTTGGGGTATGGAGGCTGTTCCGTAATTTGAATAAGTCTACTATTGTACAATATTTAGCCACTTAATTCAATATTTCAGTTTACCCTCTGAAAAAAAAAAAAAAAAACATAAAAAAAGACTTATTTGCTAATTGATGGATTTAGACTTATCTTATCATTGATTTTGCATGGAGTATGAATTGTTCTTAATTAGCTACCTCTAATGCACATATCAATGTTATATTTTACAAACAAAAAACAAAGTGTAAAAGTTAATATTTTTTATATATTTTGGTTTTAGTTTATGTTCTAATAATTCTTAGTTTTAAAGCTTATAAAAAGGAAAAAAAAAATTATAAATTTTCAAAAATATAAATAAAAAAGAACAATGTTATAATTATATTTGAGTGAAAAAAGTCAACACAAATAAGGTGTGGTTTTAATGGTTATTTCAATATTTATCCACTAATGGGTATCATTATTTTAGCTATAAGATATTAATCCAACAATCGTAATAAATTAAATAGTTACCAAAAAAATTAATATAATTAATAACATTAGATTCTTATCACGTCACTTCATCAAATTTTTATATTTAATAGTAAATACCGATAGAAACATAATCATTGAATACTCGTCCAAATATATTAATTTTGGCATTGCATTGATGATTCTCCTAGTATACCTAAAAAAACTAGTTATTAGGTCGCTTCATTCTACCCTTTATAATCAAGATGGAAAAAGTAAATACAAATTTACCTTTTTTTATTTAGTGATGAATCCATTCTATATAGTATATAGCACCTAATACATAATTAGTATACTAGTTATATATCATCAGTATATCCCACTTATGACTAATTTATATTATATACTTCACTTTTTTAGTTAATATCACAAGCACTTCTTTAACTAAATATACCTTCTTCTTCCGCTTTGAATTTGTTAAGGCTCAAGAAAATCACTCAAACCATCTAAAAGATAGAGAGTTGGCTTAGTTTCATTAGCATTAATCATCATATAGTGGTTTTTTAATGCGTAATCATCTTAAAAAGACTATCAACATGGAACAAATTAATTAAGTGGATGCCTAAGTGTATCCGTGGCATCCACGGACATGCACGCGACACTTGGCATCAGCAAAAATGTGCCAAGTGTAATTCATTTTGACAAAATCTCATGTGTCTACTCGGCGGTGCCGGCCAACCATTGGCGTGAAAGTGTCACACACTCGTGCGCCATGTCAGCCGACCATGGTGGCTTATGGTCCCTCCGACCCACAATACAAGTCTAGAAAGCCACAAAGGAACAAAAAGACAGGAGAGAGAGAGAGAGAGAGAGAGAGAAAAGGGCAATCTAATATTATTGCTTTTGGAAGAGAAAGTGGTTACAAAGTTGCCGTTTTGAATTGTCGTTCTTTTAGACCTTGGAGAAGAAAAATGAGAAAGGAATACTTTCAGTTTAGAAAAGTAGAGTCTCCTTTTCCACTCTGAGGTCTTTTTCCAATTTGAACAACAGGAAAATTGTTATCTTTCTTCTCCGAGAAAAGGGTACGTTAGTTTTGAAAGATTTAATAAACATAGGATCACCATCAAGGTGATATTTGGAATCGGGCGTTCAGACTCACAACTAATTTAATAGATGAGAGGTCTTATATTTGAACCATATAAGAAGCGTTTAAGACTATTTTTGAATTACCGGTTCAAGATTTCACTAATAAGTTTTTAATGAAGTTGAGGAGACACGTTTTATTTCCAGTGTAAGTAGCTATTACTTATAATATGGACATTTTTCAATGTGATCATATTTAAAAAGCGGTTCATAGTCCTTATAAGTTTATGTATATTCTTATATTTAAATATTATAAGAATCGAATTTGTTTTCTCACGACATTAAAAAAGAAAAAAAACACACACAAAATTATGATTAGAGCTACCGCGCATGCGCAAAACTATATGTCTAAATCAGAAAGTCAATTATATCAGTTTAATTAAAACATTCTATTAGAAAGTAAAAAAGAAAATCTCTTTTCTTCTATACTTGTCTGCAGAGTGTCTTAAAAAATTGAATAGTTATGAAAGAAAGAGATTCTCCTGAATCTGAAGCATTTGCTTACTAATTTTTAATCTTTGCTTAAAAAATGATATGCATTAGATAGATTAAGTTAGTGGGTGTTTATTTTTATTTTTATATGAAAAGGTGTGTTATATTTTATCAGGCTGACATATGTAATGACACCAGCTCAACCATTAAACGATAGCCTAAGTACACCAAAAAAGAAAGGAAATGGAAAATTATTATCTTCATTTTTTTAGAGAAAAAAAAAATCTGATGCAAAGGCTGGATTGCTAGTGTATAATATTTTCAAAAGCATTGAGCAAATAACAGATTTTTTGTATCCAACTTTGTGGGGTTTGTTGTTTCAGTTGGAAAAATATCCTTCTCATCCTCTTTTTCTAATATCTTTTTTTTTTTTCAAAAATAAAAAATAAAAAATCTATTTTCCTGATTGTGGTACAACCTCTAAACACAGACAAGCGAATGATAGTTTGCCGAGTACAACAATAGTAGGGAGGATATCCCATTTGAAGAAACAAATAAAAAGATTTTTTTTTTTTTTTGGGCTAAAAAAGTGACAATTTCACTATCTAATTGGATTGGCAAAAGTGAACTTGATTTGGATCATCTTGAAAGCTCAAGTAGGAAACTCCACCAGACAGTGAACGCCAGTTCAAGAGGGTTAGCTCTGCAATTGGAGGGACGTAATTGTCCTACTTAATATCTTTAACCAAAAGTGTATGATCAGCTAAGTTGTTATAATATTTCTAGAGGCAGTAGAAAAAAAATATTATATGTCTAGAGGGTGATACGCATCAAGACTATTCAGATAATACTTTGAATTTTACATCGTCATGATGAGTGTCCGAAGCCTAAATTCTATCCAGATGCAGAGTTAGTATGCATTTCAACCATCTTATCCAGATGCGGAGTTAGTATGCATTTCAACCATCTTCTTTATTATAGTGAAATTTACTGCAATTAAAAATGTACGGAGCTCTTACATTAAGGATGACCCAGTATAAATCTTCTGTGTACGTGATTGATTGCTTTTCTTTATTTTATTGCTCTCGATTATGTTAATGGATGACCAAAGATCCAATTGGACACTTGATCACTGGGTCATCAAGTTCAGTATGCAATCGGATAAAATGACCATGAAAATCTCTATTTTGGCTCTCAACTTTCATCTTAGGGAATAGTACATCTTGCATAGGAAAGATATAATAAAGAGTTAGGAAAAGAAAAATCTCTACAATTCTCTAAAGCTATCCCATTATCCTAGTCATATTGGATGCTTTTATGTCTAGTTTAGCCAAATTCTTGTTTTTTCCTTATTTTGCACCTTTTATTTTATGTGGACTATAAAGCAGCTCAATTCTTTTAACAATATATGATTTCAATATATATTTAAATAATGGGCAGAATATGCAGCAGTAAATGCCTATGCTTGAAGCTACTGCAGAAGTCTAGATAAGTGATAATTGTCTTCAACATGTTTGTATGACCTTCTTCTTGTAATGGAAAATGTAAACAAAGCATATAATTTTCTTCCTCCACTGTAAAAAGAAAAAAAGAAGAGAGAATTTTTGCTCAAAGAATCCATATATCAAGCATGCGTGTTGATAGCATCACTAAGCACTATAAGGAGCCCACTGTGCCACCCCTTTCTTTGTACCACTCCTATCCTTCATGATTCATAGTGGGTCTCTATCCTTTTCATGCCCAAGTAAAATATTTCGTCACCAATCTCCTTAAAGTTTGACCAGATTCTTGCTCAAAATCACAATTCTGCCATGCCCATTTTCTACTTTTAGATCTGCATGGTGCCACGTGCCTTGTACCCTAGAGCTCGCTAAACCGTAATGGTTAAGTTATGAAGTCTAATTATGTTGTGATGATAATTACTTTATACAGATAAATTTATAAATTAATCTTATTAGAGTGGTAAGAGAAAATACAATGAGTTGCAAGGTATGCGATTTTTCTCTTTCAATCTATAAATTCTATGTATTCATTTTGTTTGATTTTTTTTCCCTACGATTTTATTGCTATCAGTAATACAGAGTTAGTGCATATAATTCTTGAAAGGGCATAATTGGACTTGGATGGCAAAATAGTGCCTAACTTACCGGCGAGACTTATATTGATGGGGACCATAAAAAGGGACACTCACAAAGTAGCTTTCATGGATTCCAAACTCCCAAATCTTTGCCCAAAAGTTTCAATTATAAAGATTTTGAGTGAGATTTCTCCTAATTATATTCAAGCCATTTCATGATCACAAGATATTGACAAGGAGAACTAACCCTTTTGGCGGTTCTTACAACTTATAACAATGAATTTGTGTGCATCGTTCAATTTTTTTTTATGTGAAATTAAGGGGATTTCTTAGCTTACAAGTTTAATGAGATTTTAGAAATGGCAGCCATACCCCACCTCACCATTTACCACAACAAAACTAAATCTCAAGGGTGCAAAATGAAAATGTCATCTTCCATCAAATGGGATTCATATAGGAACATGTACATAGATAATTTCCCTTTTCTGTAGGTAAAAATGACAATTGCATAAGATTTCAAAAACGTGTTTGCTTTAGCAAAAACACGCCATAAAACCAAAATATGAGATGGGTATCTACAATTAGACCTACATAGTCTCTCTGACTTTTATTTTTATTTTTTTTAGTTTCCTAATATGCTTTCCAACGGGTATTTCTCTCATAAATCCTAAAAAAATGAAATACCAAAAAGACTCTGTTTTTAACTATTAAATCTGTATAAGAGATTATATGTTATGTATATTTTTTTAATTTAATATGATTTTAACCAGATTTAACAGTTAAAAAGTGATTCTACTAGTAGTAAGTAGTAAGGTTCTAAAGACCCTTACCAACGTCAAAGGATTGAGCAAGTGTTGATGTTACTGCTAGGGGATGTTAGCCATATAGTCAATGTTGCACAAACGTACAGTCAACTAGAGAACAAAATCTAGGATCCATAGTAGTCGAGCACTAAGATTGCCTCAAAATGATCCTTGTTGGATCCTAGCTGAACTTTCACTGTAACAAAAGAAGTCCGGTGAGAATCCACTTTGAGCCTAAATGCAAGTGGACTCGGTGAGTCGACTCGGAGAAACAACTAAGAGACAGAGCAAAATAAATTTGTGCTCTAATGATTGTTCATTTGGGTAGTAAAAATCATAATCTAATCTTAATAATGATGATTATGGATAACAAATATTGTTGTACCACAACTTTTTCTTGACTCGCCAACCCCAACTCAGAACAAGTTGATTTTAAGCATCAATAGGGCTATTATTACATTACCTCTCATTACATACATTATAAACAGATTAACACAAAGTGGGGTCCATCAGAGAAGCAAAAAAGACGTCAGTTTTGGTAATATTGCAGCAATTTGAGGGGTGAATTTGCAGCCATGTCTATTTAAATACTAAACTGTCCCACACCCCCTCTCATTCAGGAAAAAGAAAAACACAAAACAGTTTCTAATTCTCGTACCAAAATCTTGTGATATAGAACCATGGGAAACTGTATGGTTCTTGGAGAAAAAGTGATAAAGATCATGAAACCAGATGGGAAAATTCTTGAGTACAGATCACCGATCAAAGTGCATGAGGTGCTATCTGAATTCACAGGCCACGCAATGCGCGAGACAACGACGCCAATGAGCGATCTGAGGCCCGAGACCAAGTTGCGAGGCGGTCGGCTGTACTACCTTGTGCCTCTTCCAGCTTTAAGGCCACAAGGAGGCGTGAAGAAAAAGGTCAGGTTCTCGGAACCCGGAAAGGATGTTGAACAACAAACAAGCAAGGTCGTGAGGATTAAGCTGGTCATCAGTAAGCAACAACTGCAAGAGTTGTTGAGCAAAGGCGGAGTTTCGGTCGATGACATGGTTTCTCAGCCTCATAATGAGAAAAGAAAAGATGGCTCTGGTGGATCATTCAGTTGTGATGATGGTCAAAGAGAAGGATACTGGAAGCCTGCGTTAGAAAGCATACCAGAAATAAACTAGCAACGAAAGATGTCCTAATTATATATATACATACTAGAGTTAAAGATATACAAAAACGAAAGACTGTAACGATGAAATATACCAGAAAAAAAAGTGAAAGACAATCAGTTTAGTTTATTTTCCCAATACTACAGGACTCTCAAATTTTTAGTATATTTGTTTTGTTTTTGTTATCTTTGCTTTCTGATTATATCATCTGCACGCCACTACAAGACTCATTTATGGAATTGATCTTTTCCAGCATTAAACACACGTAATAAGTCATAACTCATATTGGTTAAGCTTGAAAACATGGCATGTTGAAGATTGAAGGTTGATAAGTTGATGAGGATAAACTCAAATCATCCCTTATTATTTAATTTCGGTGTCTCAAATCCTGTTCAACCATTGTATCCATACCATATCATCTCAAAATATTAATCTAAAAAAGTTGTAATTTTCTAGTATTGTGGAATGAATATAATGGTCCGATAAAATTAAGTAAAATATATGAATTTGATAAGGATAGGAGCCTTAAACCAAATTATTTAGCTGGTTTATTATTTATTATTATTATTTTATTTGTTTTAGGAGAGTTTGAACTCTGGAGATTGATATTGGAAGTATACATGTTATTACTGCAAAAAATATTTGACCATTCAATTTTGAGAAAGGAGAATTGCTGATAAATTCAGGTTGAGCATATATGTATTATGTCATATATATACGATTTGTTAAATGATAAGCCAATACAATTTTGAGAAAAGGACGATGAGCAAAATACATACCGGTCCTCAGATGCCAAGTCACCAAAAAAGTTCAAAAAGAAAGTACAGAAACTACTTTTGATCACTGTATTGTGAAGTGGAACTCTTTTTTGGATCAACAAAATTTAAATTTGTATTTTTTGAATTTTGCTTTAAGTTTCAATATGAAGCTTTTTATGCTAAAATCATTTCACTTGAACAAAAAAAGGATTAAGGTGCGTGACTCAGCATTGGCAAAAATAAAAGGACACTAAAAAGCTTAAATTTTATATGATGGTTGTTGGGATTTGTTTTCTAAATTCTGTTTTAAGTCAGATCGTTTCATGATTGACATTATTTTAAGAATGATTAATTGGTTGATTTTGATTAAGAATAGATTGGCAGCTAATTCATTTTGGAAAGTTATTGCCGATCTAGAAACTGAATATAGTTTTGTTTTTAAAAGTCAACTATTGATCCAAAGATGGTAAATTGATAATTGGTGATTTGATTGATATTTGATTCAATCAAATCATTCTCAGTTTAAGTGTATTTTTTGTGAGAGAAAATACTGTAGCGAGTCACGAACCATAATTCAATCCATGACACGAATCCTCATACCAAACACCTAGTGAGTTTTCGTAGCTAGATGATCTTTATCTGTCTTCTAGAAATGTGTTCAGATTCGTATATCAGTTTCGGAAAGATTTCAAGATTTAAGCAGATTGATTCACGGACTGGTTTTGGAGAGAACTGACTCTGACAGCTATGTTACAGTTATTGTTGCAACAATGATATGCAACAGATTTAGTTCAGTGAATTAATTGAAGAGGTCGTCAAGCTATTCACATTTTGCTTATTTATTCAAAGAGTTTCTCGAATCTTTGTACACCTTTTGATTAGTTTTTCTAAGTTGTGAGATAGGTGTGTGCACTTGTATTCAGGGAGATAATTTGAGTGTTTTTTAGGAGAAAAACTTAGTTGGAGGGATTCCAATATTAAAAAATCGAGGGAATCTCGTTGTTCAAGTCCATTGGGAAATTGCAAGTTCATAGGCGTCTTTTTAGAGAGAGAGTCTCGGGTAGATTAAGTTTAATTGATTTGTAAAAGAATTTTTAGTGGATTGTTCATCATCTGGACGTGGCCCTACGGAGTAGGTTGTGACCGAACCGCGATATCAATTCTCTCGCGTTCTTTCATTTTACATCTCTGCATTATTTTTATTGTCTTACAAAGTATTAAAAGACTCAAACCAATACCTACAATGGTTAAGATAATACATTGGATCTACACAAGAAATTTAAAGGCATCATTGATCACTATAATGATTTAAATTTTTTTTTATCAGCGTGATGATTTAAAAGTTAATGGACTGTTGTTAAGCCCAAAATTATACACCCATCTTAATATATAAAATATATATATATAAGCAAATAGCATATTTTAAAAATAATTTTTAAGTAAAAAACATATTTTTGAGACCATTGAAGTAAACAGTATAAATATTAGTAAGTATGTACAATCAATATGGATCAATAAATACGGAATTTACGTCCGATATTTATCAGTAAATATTATATTTATACCGGATAAATAAATATTTACCAACAAATATGCTATTTACTTTAATCATTTTAAAAATGTGTTATTTCCTTTAAAAAAATGTTTAATAGATATACTATTTACTATGATTACCGCCATGTTACTGTATCAAAATGCAGCTGTTATCTTGTATATGACCACCCTAAAATGTAAATCCTTCCCTCAATAATGCAAGTGTTTATATTTTGACCACCCAATGAAAACAGAAGCATTTTTTTCAAGCTTTCTCTAAAATGAATGTTACAATTGGGATTGATAATTATTATTTCACACAAATACGATGGTACTGGTTAGTGCTTCCAACATGAGAGCATGGTGGCATTTCCCACAATTGACTTGGTTTGATGGGTCAACTCACTCAAGTAAACCACCACAGATTTGATGGAAGAAAATTTCAGACCTCTATGTATGTATTTCTTCAGCATTTCTCTTCAGTATTGACAATGATGGTTCCAACATTGTTTTGTCTCTCCTGATTTTGATAATGTGCTTTTACTCTAGCGTTCATACAAGAATACAAAAAAACTCTTATAAATCGTAGAATCAACATTGGAATTTTCACTAAATTTCGTCCTCTTAGAACAGTAGGTCAAGATTTGACTTAAGTTGATTGTATCACTAAGAAACAAACAATCTCATAATATGATTTTTATTGCATCATCATTACAATTAAGCATGTCAAACAGACCAATTCAAAAATAAATTTCCTATCAATGATTTCCTCAACTTACTCTCTACCAATCACCAGCAGCTATACAGAGTTTCAATACGCATATCTAGAAACCAAAGAGAATTATGAGGTATGTGTTTTCTCTTGTAAACTTCTCCTTTATTATAATGAATTACTGTAGCAATTAAAGTGGATGTAGCTCTCACATTTATAGTGGACCGTTATAAATGTGTTCTTGTTTGTTTGATTTATCCTCTACGATTTATTATTACTCTCAATACTATAGAATTAGAATGCTTAATTCTTCACATCTTCATGAAAATCATCACAAAGTTTATTGGAATATCAAAAGGCACGTATAAGAAAATTGTTGTACCGACTTTTCAGTTGGATTTTCATTTTTCCAACCTAAGTATGCCAGTATATTTCAAGGGGGGAAACTTTCAGTCTACCAATACGCGTGGGAAGCGTTGCCTCCTCCTAATTGAGGAGAAACAGGAAAAAGAAAGACCAAAAAAACCAGAAAATGGCACATACCAAGTAGTTTAAACGTTTTAATCTGTGTCCAAATAAGTTAATCCTACTGTTATATTCATTTAAAGTTCGCATAATAGTTTATATGTTTGGTAACATTATGGTTGTTGGTAGGTGATTTATTAAATTCTCCAAACTCCCAAAGCATGATAAGAAGCCCATAAGAAAAAAAAAAATTTTAAAATGATTTTGAATCTCAGTGGGTGGTATAACATTCAAAATCCACTAAAAGTAAAATGCCCACTATGAAGCCCTCTCATTACTGGGATGAGTTAAGGTCATTTTCTTGGTTTCCAACATAGAGACGGCTAGATGCATTAATCTAGCTAGCTTTCCTAGCATCATATAATGACATCAGAATAAATTTTATCTGACATTTCCAAAAAAAAAAAAAAAAAAACCTTAACTACTCACTTTTCCACGTGGCAAACTACTATGGTGAAGTATCACATGAATTACCAGAATTTATGGAGGGAAAAAGAAAAGAAAACGACTATGAATAATAGACTGATATGTACTCTTATGCATCAAAGGCAGCATCATTAGGGAAAACCAAAAAGAAAAGTCATAGAATAGAGTAGCTGGTGCTCTAAGAGCTAAGTTGTGAACTCTCCATCAGCTATTATTTGATAAGCATTGCAGCAACCAAGTCTACACAAAGAAAGAGTGCTATATTTGTAACCACAACAGCAAATCTTCAACAGGATAAAGAGATATAGGTTTTAACTAATGGATCACCAATTATTATACATTATCCTATTTGTCCCTGCTGCCGTTTGAAGCTACCTTTTCCGAAAGAAGGAATCTAATTTTTCAATGCTATTTTTTTTTCTTTCCCTTAAGCGCTCGTTTGGCATTGTTTTAGAGGCCGTTTTTAGATTGCTAAAGAATCTACAACGGGTTAGGATAATTGGTAGACCATACTTTTGCCCAACATATTTTAAAATGGCCACCCAACAACATTTATGGCATGTTTACATACCAGGAGTGGGGAATAGGAATTGAGAATCGAAATCAACTCTATGTTTACTTATCCATTTTTATCTTGAAATAAGAGTGGAAATGTGTGGGTCTTTGATAGGAACCTCTCATATTAACGAAGAACAAGATACACTACACAGTTGATATTCGAGAGATCATCGACTCTCCTCCCAAGACTCTATACAACCAAAAAGCCCCTAACCCTCGAGCCCCAACTTATTTATAGGCTCCCCTGCTAACACACTAACAAATCTAACAAACTAATGATGGGCCCACTAGACCTCCACTACGTTTCACTTACGCCAGGAGAAGGCCCAAGGTCAGTCGAGGTGAGGTGGCAGAAAAAGGTGCTATGGAGAATGGTGAGGTGGAGGCTGACATGGAAGGAGCTAGCAGCATGGGAGAAAGAGTTGCTGCGGGGAATACGCAATAGTCCACATTTCGAGAGATACCTTGGGAGTAGGGCGGGGAGTAAGGAAACAGTTAGCGAAGAGGAAAGGAATAAAAGGAGGAGGAAGAAGGCTGTGAGGGTATCCAAGTTGTAATTGAATTTGCTTAGACACGAGCTATTGCTCTAGGGAGTGCAAGGGGTCACTCGAACACCCCTACATCTTTTGTATTCTTGTCCGTTTTCTTTCAGTAAAAGCTGTGTTGAATTTTGCCTAAAAACTACTCAATAGATCCGGTCTTAT